GTCTTGTGGATATGGGGAGGGCCTAGTGGTGGGACCTGTCTGCAGTCAGGAGACTGGAGGCCTCCTCTGCCTTTGAATGATCTGGAAGGTGAAGCCTGACTGATAGCCATCACACTGCAGACAGACCCGCAGCTTCCAGGCCTTTTGCCAGCTGCCCTCCTGGCCCAACCACAGGGGTAAGCTGCATCTACTGCCTCTGAACAAGGCCCCAAAGCCCAAGGCTCTGCGGCCAGCTTGTCCTTGGCTGTGGTGGCTGTGGCATAGCACGGCTTGAAGCAGGGCACGTGCTGAGCATGGGTGGCCTCCCTGCACCACCTAAGCCGGCATGTCAGCCTTGCTGAGCGCAATGGCCAGCTCCAGGTCCTCCTGTTCCTGTCGCCGGAGTCTCGCCAGCCGCTCCTGCTCCGCTTTCTCACTCTCCCTCTTGGCCCAGGCCAGCTGCTGCTCCTCATTGCCAAACTATAAAAAAAGATTGGGAAAGTGAGAGGGGGACCCAGAATGTGGGCGGAGGGGCCCTGACCTCACCCCATGTACAAAGAAGCAAGGTGCATCCAACCTGAGCTGCCAACTGGAGGACCAGACACCCACCCCTGCAGAGAGAGGCAGCCTGGACTGGTGCTGGAAGGTTCTAGCAGGCAGGCCCACCAACTCTGTAGGCACATCCTCCAGCTTTCTCTCTCCTTTTGAGACAGGTTCTTCTTATGGAGACCAGGCTGGCCAACCCTCCTGCCTCAGCTACTCCAACTGTCAAAGTTTCCATCCTCCTTAGGCTGGAGCCACAACCTCCCAGCTACTTAATTCCTCCAAGTCCTCTTGAGAGGCCTCAAGCGCCCAGGGAGCCAGCCCACTGCCTGTATAGGGACCTCAACAGTCCCCTAATCACCGTCTCTTCTAGTGAATGTGGAGGTCTGTGTCCTCGAGAGCAGACAGACATCAGCAGACAAGGGATGAAACACAACCTCCTTGGGGAAGGACTGTGGAGAGGAGCACAGGCAACTGCTTCACCAGGGCCCTCAGAATGAATCGTCTGTACGTTGTCACCAGTAACTGACATGGATAGTGGCTTGGGGACCTTGGAGAGTCTAGGTGGGAGATATGGGGGCCACAAGGAACCGGAGTCCCAGAACAGGACTGTGACTTCCCAGCCAGTGACAAGGCATCTACTGGAGTATTACTCAGGTATGCTGCTGGCGGGAGTGTGGCCTCCCAGGGAAGGGGTGGAGCCCAGGAACCCTCACCAGGGCTCAGGTTGGGACCCCTCATCTGTTCCCCCTCACTGTCTTATGGAATTTCCCCAAAACTTCATGGGGAGCAAAATAAAAAAAGATGGGCCTCAGGAAGAAGGGCTTCATCCTCCAACAGCCCAGATGAACAAGCCCCCACCTCTACTGCACCTCACTCATCCCACAAACTGGGGTGCCTCTGAGCTAGAGGCCAAGAGAAAGAACCCCACACAGATCTGCCTCACGCACTTGGGCCGAGAGAAGTTTCTAGCAAGGATATTTTCTCAGTAGTACTGACTAGCTCTGATTGGAGATGCTTAGACTAAGCCATTTCTGGTTTTCCTGGGTCACAGAGGGGTGACCTGAGTCTGGGGTGTCTTAGGCGCCCCTTGAGCAGCAGCTTGGGTGCCGCTTCCCTTTCGTACTGTCAGCTGCAAGGAGTCCCCTTCCTCAGACACCATCATCATTGAGAATTTGGTCAAGAAGTAATTTGGTCAAGAAGCTTTTATTTCTGAAGCCCCTTGAAATCTGTCTGCATGGAGCATACAGACAGGCTCTGCCTCCACTTCCCAGTGTGTTCATGGACACCTTTGCGAGGCCCAGAGAAGTCAATCTGATGTCTGCCTGGCTCTTAGGGAAGCTGTGCAGGCTGTCAGCTGTTCTGCTAAATTCACACCCCTGGCTGCTTCTAAGGAACACACGTGAGGCCCAAGGCAGAATGGCTGTTTGTGGCTGTTTTCTAGGGCAGGGACTTGGGCAACCCACACTGGCCTTGAATTCCCTGGGCCTCTGATAGGCACCACCGTGCCCTGCTTGCCAGGATGTAAAGAAACCTTTTTGTTGTTTTCAAGAAAAGTTCTCTCTATACAGCCAAGGTTTCCCTCAACTCAGAGATCTGTCTCCCTAAGTGCTGGGATTAAAGGTACCAACTACCAAGTCCTTTTTTGAGATAGGGTCTCTTATAGCCCAGACTGGACTTGAACCAGCTGAGGATGATCTTTAACTCCTCAACTACCGGATGCTGGAGACAGAGCCTTGGGCTTCATGAGCGCTGCCCACTGAGCTACAGCCAGAGCCCAAGAAAAGAAGCTTCCATTAAAGCTAGGCGGTAGTGGTGCATGCCTTTAATCCCAGCATCTGTGAGGCAGATGCAGGTGGATCTCTGTGAGTTCGAGGTCAGCCTGGTCTACAGAGTAAATTCCAAGACAATCAGGGTTACACAGAAAAGTCCTGTCTTGAAAAAAAAAAAAAAAAAAAAAAAGCAGTTTCCAAAGTTACCAAGGGAAATGGCTCACCATTAGAAAGCTCTGGGGTGCCACAGCAGGTGCCAAGGATAGCATGGCCAGCCTGCATGAGTGACATCAGCTTCCAGAAGTCTACCCCAGCCAGCTGTTTTCCCACAGGTGACTACAGCCTTTTCTGAGCCTGCACAGCCTGCACAGCACTGAAGCCCCAGCGAGCCTGGAAAGCAGGTTCAGGGAGGGCGATCCCACTGGACCCCTGCCGCAGGTGGGGACCGCACTGTGCTGATGGGAACACAGCCAGGCCAGGCCAGGGCAGGTGGGATTTGGTTTCCCATCTGGAGATGAGAGTGTTTAAATGAAAAGTTAATCTAGGTATGGGTACAGGACCCAACATCCCAGCACCTAGAAGCTAAGAGTTTGAGGCTAGCCTAGACGAGACCAAAACAACAAACTGATAAACTTGAAAAATAAACCTGAAGCCAGTAAGCACTCTGGGACAACGGAGTCGTTAGCCCAGGACAGCTCGGAACCTGGTGTTTACGAGAAACTGAAGAGGAACGGAGTGCTCCGCCGGTGCGGGCACAGGAAGTGAACTGGCTTTTCAGAAAGGCCACAGTCATTTCTCTACACTGTGGTTCAGCGCCACCACCACTCTTCCCTGCCTAAACCGAGCACTGGAGTCACGTGGCAACAGCTGTGCCCTGTTTGTTTGTTTTTTTAAACGGACTATTTTATTTTTGTAGCCCAGACTGACCTGGAACTCCTGATTCTCCTGCTTTTACCTGCCCAGTGCTGGTATAAGAGAGCCGGTGTGGACTGGGCACAGCACCAGTCCTGGCCTTGTTGGTTAATAGTTCCCACAAGAAAATACACCTGGTGCTATACAAAAAACTTAAAGAGCTTCTGTCTCTTTCTAAAGGCACACTGTGTGTGCTACCAACAGAGATGAATGGGCTGCACCTCGGAAAAGTCACAGCTCCCCAGGGGCCACAAGAGGGCCAGGGTCAATGTATTATTATTATTATTACTATTTTTAGACGTCATCTCCCCATGTACCTCAGGCTAGCCTCAACCCCGAGATCCTCCTGCCTCGGCTTCCCAGGACTGGGATAAGAGGTAAGTGCCATTGGGCCCAGCTCTGTTTATGTAAGTCAAATAAAGCCACAATACAGCCACATCCCATGGATGTCACTAACAGCTGGGGAGTACTTGGGTATTTACTATACCCTGATACAAGTGCTTTGGGTTGTTTGTTTGTAGTGGGAATGTGGCTCTGCCAGTCTCTCACCACCAAGCCACGCTTCAGCCCTCCAGGTCTGTTTGGAGGCATGAGGATCAGTAAGTAGTTCACGACTACTGATTCTAGGCTACAAACTACAGTCTGGGCTTATCTCGAAGAACAGTAAGAAATGAGTAAACAGAGCAGTGATCCCAATGCCTCCCAAGACAATCCAGCAAGGAACTCACAAACCTTTACAAAGGAACGCTTCTGGGGAAATGACATGGACTATGGGAAGACAGTACACTCAGAGCACAGGCTGCCCTGAGGCGGCAGAGGTGCTGAGAATGCCCCAAAGGAGAACAGGGCACTGATGGTGAGAGCCCAGGCTGATTCCAGGAAGACCCTGGCCTGGGAAAGTGGCCTCTGAACCCGTGAAGGAGAGAAGAGGTTCCAGGGTGGTCGTCTAGGGTGGATTCTTTCTCATCGTGGCTAATAAATCAAACAGAACTTGGGGAAAGAACAAAACAGAACAGAAAGTAGCCGGATCTCTCATTCTCGGATGTCCTGCCTGGACTCTTTTCTCCTACATGCACAATGCGCTTAGGCAGACCTGGCTCAGAGTTCTTTCTGAAGACTCCGAGGGCCTGAGGAAATGTTCACAGTCAGTCTTGGGAAGTGCCTGCATGCTCAATCTCCAAAACTCACTGGACCAGCATGGTGGCGCACACCTTAGTCTCAACACTTGGAAGGAAGAGGCAAGTGGACTCTTGAGTTCCAGGCCAGCCTCTGCTACATAGGGACCATGTCTCAAACAGAAACCCAGTGAACACAATATCCTCTGAGGGACAAAGATCAGGCACACTCCGTGCCACTCTCCCAGGAGAAATTTCATCCTCCTGCAGTCCATTAAACTGTAGCTCTTATCTTTATAGACAATCTATTTTTCTTAGAGGCCAGTGCAGAATAAATAACAAAAGTAGTAGATGGATGGTGGGAGGTGCCAGCAGCAGGAGCAGTGTCTGTAGCTGCAGAGGGACCCCCACCCCCAAGAAGCAGCAAGCCAGGCAGGAAGGCAGCCGAGGGAGGACTCAACTTACAGAGGTGAAGTCGGCAAAGCCGGAGGAAGAGGCCTTAGGAGGTTTAGATGAAGAGGAGGGGGCAAATGGATCTTTGCCACTAAATGGGTCCCCAAACCCCTTTTTATTTTGGAACGGGTCGCCGCTGTCAGCCCCGAGTGGCTGGAATGGATCGGGGGACTCGGGGAAGGCTGAAGAACCAAGCTGGCTTACAGGTGTACTCTGACCTGGAAAGTTTAGGGAAAAAAAAAAACAAAACAAAAACAAAAAAAGAAAGAAACACAAGTTACTCACTACGACAGGGTGGAGGGCAGAGTGGGGCCCTTGGCTGCCTCTCTGGGGAGAGCAGTGGCCCTGGGGACTCTGATTTTTTTTGGGGAGTGGGTCTGGAATCCACGACCCTATGCCCACTCTGTACTTGTTACAGCATGGAGTTAGTTGATAATAACCCCAAACAGAGGAACAACAGGGTTGTGAGCGGTGCCAGAAGAATGATTTAATTGCTTTAAAGTTATTTTTGAGACAGGGTCTTCCCATGTAGCCCAGGCTGGGCTTTGAGCTCATCTTCCTGCCTCACCTTACCAAGAGATGGGATGGCAGGTCTGTGCCACCACACCTGACCCAAGATCACTTCAGGTCACATAAACACACACAGACCCACCAGCAGCTAAAATTGGACCTGTCTTTAGTTAAAAACACATTAGAACTCAAGTTTGGGTCCCAGTACCGAGGTCCTGGTTCTGAGGTGTCATTGGCCCACACTTCCCTATAGTTACTATTCCATTCAGAGAATACCTAGGATGAGACAGGCAGGCTGTTTGCACGTGACTCACTTTAGCCCAGCCCATCACACCTTTCCCATCACAGCTGAGCAGGGAGACACAATAAAAACATCTAAGGACAGCAAGAGGGGGCAGGGAGGATTCCCTGGTGACAAGGTCACAGGCAGAGCAGAGCACAGGGTAAGATTACAAGTGACAAATACCAACCACACACTTTCCAAGGCAGGCAGGTACTCCTGCATCCTGATGTTGCACCTCTGCCCAAGCACAGGGTCCGGACATCCGACATGGCTGAGACATCAGTCCCAAGGGCCAGGTCAGCACAGCTCCCTGGTGTTAATGAACTACCCACACCGGCTCTCATGGTTTCAAAATCATCATTCAGAAAGAAAGTAGACCAGTGCACAGCCTGACAGCAGTTTGGCTGGCAAGATTTCTGAGCAGGTAAGGCGCTTACCACCAACCCTGATGACCTGAGCCACGCCAGGCACCAACATGGGAGGGACAGGCAGCTTTGTAAGGTACTTTGACTTACATATGTGCCACGGCATTCATCCCCCACCCCCATTAAGTGAATAAATGCAAGTAAAAAGTCCTAGCATTGTCTTCTGTTCCCCCCAGACCACTGAGCCATTCCACTCCAGCTATCTAGGGCTCCAAACTCAATTCACACCTTCCACTCTCTGCTCTGAGGTTCGTGAAGGAAAAGTTCTCTCCTCATGTGTGGTGCAGGAAGGAGAGACTGGGGTGTTGTCAAGATGATACTCGGGAGCTGACTCTTGCACCTGATGGAACCCTGGCTGCAGCTTTCAGAAGAAAGCATCAATGGCAGCCTGGGTCCAGACAGCTGTAAAGTGCAATAGTTGGAACCAGGTTGTCTCTCAGCTTAGTTTACACTAGAGGTGTAGCACCATGAGAAGTTTCACATAATAGTGACCTGGTGCCACCCACCAACAGGAGGTAACAACTTGACAGGGTAGGCAAGGGTTCTTGCAGTTGCTATACTGCTATATTTCACACACTCACAAGACACATCTGGAGAAGAACCTGGTGACAGGAGGGCGCAGCAGGTGCATGGCCATGGGAGGAGTCCAGTGAGCATCACTGTACTATTCCTTCAGAATGCTGCCCCCCCCCTCTTAAAAAATAGCTGGGCGGTGCTGGCACACGCCTTTAATCCCAGCACACATAAGGCAGAGACAGGCAGATCTCTGTGAGTTCGAGACCAGCCTAGTCTACAAGAGCTAGTTCCAGGACAGGTTCTAAAGCTATAGAGAAACCCTGTCTCGAAAAAGAAAAAAAAAAAAAAAGATAAAAGAGCCCCCTTCAGAAGGATAGGTACACACCTCATTCCACAGAGGTTCTGACCCCTGTGGGTTATTAAAGCCTATCTCTTTCCCACTCCCAAATATCCCTGCAGGCCAATCACCAGCAAGCCCACCCAACAGGCACGAACAAAAAGGCAGCCAGCAGAGGCTAGGGAGGCTCGCAAGGCTCCAGCACACTTTTGGTACTGACCCAGGGTCCAACTGTTGTCCTGAGCCTCTTTCTTCATCCTGTGGTCTGGGAGCCTCACCCAGGCAAAGGGAGTGTGACATAGGAGAGGTCCCTGCCCTCGTTTGGGGACCCTCTCTGGTCACTGTCTCTGTAACTTCCACTCTAAACAAACCCCTTCTTGTCAGGGGTCCTGCCACAGAGCCCTCCCCATCAGCCCCTCATGCACTCGGCCTCATCTGCACAGCCCATCCACATGCAAGGTCATATTGTGGAGGCTGTTCCAGTGCCCACTTGTTGGCTCAGATGCCTCCCTACCACGCCTGGTGGTCAAGTCACTATGTGCTTTCTCATTCTCTTCTCAAAGGCTGGAACCTGCGCCCCTGAGTCTGGACCTTGCTCCCCATCCTCAGTGCCCAGTCAGGAGCTGGGAGGGAGGGAGGGAGAGCGGGAGGGCAGGCGGGCTGTGGGTCTTTGATGAAATGTGGCTCATTATAGCACAAAATCTGAGTTCCCTAGGTACTGGAGTACTAGAAAAGCCCCAGAACCACACTGACTCTCCTCCCAGGGTTCTGCAGTGATCCCAAACCTGGGCACTCTCAAATTAGATGCTATCTTATGCCCCACCATGCATAAATACACACTAACTCATGCTTGTGCAGGCCTAGTACTGACTGAGCAAGGTCCTAGGCTAGGGACTGAACCAGCTGGCCCCCGGGATTCCACACAGCCTTGCTGCCTGCTCAGCCTGTCTCCATGCCCATCAAGTTCATGGTTAGAAGTCCTGACCCCCAGCTATGAAGAGCAGGTCACTATTGTTAAAATTATTGTTTTTTTGAGAAATGGTTTCACGTAACCCAGGCTGGCCTTGACCGTGTTATGTAGACTGTCATCCCGTACTTGGGAGGCTGAGGAAGGATTATGAGCTTGAAGCTAGACTGTATTACTTAGCCAGCCCCAACTCAAGTAAAAACAAGGGTGGGGCGCTTGTTCAGCCCCGAGTGAAGCACCGGGTTTCATTCCCTACCCACTAAAAACTAGGCGTGGCTAGCCACACCTTTGATTCCAGTACAGAGGCTGAGGCAGGAGGACCAGGAGTTCAAGTTCAACATTAGCTACCAGAGTCTGAGGCTAGCTTGGACTACATGAGACTCTGTCTCAAAAACAATGAACAATAAGAATTTAAGAGCAGGGCATTTCTTGCAGGATGTGCTGAGGCTAGCAGGGAAAGGAGGCGACTAGCCACTTTTGGACCACTCTTCGTCTATTTAATGAAGAGCTTTTCTCCCTTGGCTTGGGGATTAAACAAGACACGAAAAACTGTTTTGGTGGGAGGGCAGTCAGGAGCCTAACCGGCTACAGTCAACTGAGGCTGAGGCTTCTGAGAGCAGAGAGGCGATCAGAGATGAAAAGAGCCTTTCACACCAAGACTCGCTGCAGCCGAAACCGTTATTTAGAAATCGCGACTGTGCTCATGAAACCCGCCAGGAGCAACTGCTGCCTCTTGTTTTCAGGAGGGAGACGGTTTTCTCTTAGGTGCCTGTGTTCTGGGTGCTGGTGTGCAGGCACTGCAGGTCCCTGCCACTTGCAGGTTGGTGTGGCCCTGGATTGTGCCCACAGCTTGAGCAATGAAGGAAGACCCTGGCCGTGGCTTCCTACTTGGCACTGAGTTATTTTTGGTGGCTGTATTGTTTCAAGGCTGGGTCTAGTTCCTGCTTTTATGTAACCACTTTTGCTAACTCCTTCATCGCTTTCCCCATTTTTCGAGGTGAAGCTGATCCCGGGTGTGACAAAGTCACAGTGCTTTTGGCTCTTGGGACACGAGTATGGAGAAACGGCTGCGGAAAAGGGATCAGAAAAAACTAAAGGACTGAGGCCATGTCTCAAAGACAAAGGTGCTTGCTCCCAAGCTTGACATCTAGGTTCAATCCCCAAACTCACACAATGGAACAACTGTCCTGACAGTTGCCCTGAGCCTCACCTGTGTGTGTCACTGACCAAAGTGCACACACAAGCAAATAAATGCAGAAAACCAAAACAAAGGGAAGAAATAAACAACAGTAAAAGAATTGTCTGGCCAGGCATGGTGGCACACACCTTGAACTGGGAGGCTTGGCAGGGAGAATGAGACAACTCCTCTGTCCTCGCTACGCCCCAAAATAACAAATGAAAATAAAAACGTTACATGAAAATTTAACGGGATGGTGCATGATAACTGATGCCACAGCGGGCATGGTACCCTGGCCACACTCTCCGGCCGCTGCACTAGCTGAGGGGACTGAAGAAGCACAGTAGGTCGTATGTGGAAACCACAGCAGTTTCAACAGCCACCCGAGCGGTGTACCGAAACCACACACAGCACTGACTTCGGCAAAAACAACACGAACTCCATGGTTTACCACAGCACACTCTGCTAAAAAAAAAATTACTCAGTGGCCGGCCCCACCCTGGAAGAATTTCTTTAATTTTTCTATTTTTCAGGTTTTCGAGGCTGTTTGTCTCCCAGCACAGAAAGTCAGCACAGCCAGAGACTAAAGATCAGGGAAGTGCCTTTGCCTTTTTGGGCTTGCTTCTCAGGGATTCCCTGAGCCATTCCTTCCCAGAGCCAGGCTCGAATAACACACTGGATCTCAATAATCAGTTCCAAGAGGGGTGACTGATACAGAAGAACAGTCAAGAGGTCTGGGGTGCAAAGGCCCTAGAAATTTGATTAAGGAGAATATCAAATATCAGGACCGGGCTCTGGTGTATTCAGAAGGCAGAGGCAGGGGGATCATTAGTTCCAGGCAAACCAGTCTGGGCTATAGAGTAAAACATCGTGCTGTAAAAGGGGAAAAAAATTAAAAAAAAAAATTTGCACCCAAGAGAGAGCATGTGCTTGCCCCTGTCAAACTCTGAGTTCTGTTGACACAATTCATTGCTGTACTTAGAAAACGCAGTTCTGCAGATGAGAGATAAATACAGGAAAAACACCCCCCAAAAAAGACAACTAGAAAACAAAGACTAAAGGTTTGTGGTCAGGGCAGCTGCCCCACCCCAGCCATTACCCTCTGCAACCCAGGTCGTTCCCACACTGCCATGCACTGACATGGGCACCCACACACCGTTACTGTCCTTTTTTGCCCTGGACAGCATTGGTCCTTCTCACTGCCAGGCTTTTCTGGGAGTCCTTCTGTCAGGAATTAGGTGAGGGACACCAAGAAGTCACCAGGGATCTCCTCTCTTTTTGCTCACAGCTTACCAACAAAGCAGAGACTACGTAGGGACAGAGAGGAGAGAGAAATCAGATTGCCTGACTCAAACTTTCAACTGTCATAAGAAAGGAGTCCTTTCCGCTCACACCTCCGTTCTCCCGCTGACAGTTCTGGCAGCCTTGGTGCCCAGGCCACCGAGGGCTTGCAGGTAGTTCTGCACATTGGCAGATCAGAGCACAGTATAGCAGCATAGTCCAGGAGATAAAAATCTGATGTACCGGATCATATCATGGTGCCAAAACTTCCCACCCAAAATATTTACCAATTTTTGAGAAGTCTTGCTTGGCGCATCAGAAGGGACAGGATGAGGTTTGGGTCTGAGCTGAGGAGAAAAGCTGAACAAATATTTGTTATCCCCATCTGTACTTGGGCTATTTTGTCTGCTGTGATACGGGCAGGGGTCATGGGAGTCTGCGGGGCTGGCAGACACGGCGCTGCCCCACCATGAAAAGGGTCTACAAAAGACAAAGAGGTCTGAAGCAAGAAAGACAATTCCGAGTTTTCACAAGGGCCGCTCTGATCTCTAACGAGGAACTGGTGAACGGGGTGACATTAGCCTACAGAAGAAAACAGGCTGGGGGGCAGGGCTGACACAAATTGCTACAAACCACCTGCCCTGTGTTCTGTCATTTGTTTTGGTGTTTCACTCTGCAGCCCCAGTGGGACCTTGTGCCCCATGTGCTGGGATCACAGGCACAAGCCACCATTTCTGGCACACATCTTCTTCTGAGAAGTCACTTTTGACACAATCCTTCTGTTCCAGTGGGCGTTCAGGGAGATGTGCTCTGCAGAGAAGTGGCGGTGGGGAGTCTTAAGTGCTTGCTATGCACAGCCGTGGGACCTTTGTTCTTCCTTACAAGGGCCAACACAGCCAGAATGCTACCTCTGTGAAGGGGGACTCAGCACAGACCGTGACGTCTGCAGTGGGAATGAATGACCTATGCGGGAAAGGGTCACAGGCCCATGGAGCCCGAGGAGGGTTGAGGGGGAGGACTTCTACTTGGTTCTCTTTTCTTTTCTTTCCTTTTTTTTTTTTTAAATTATTTAATTTTATGGACATTGGTGTAAGGGTTTCAAATCCTCTGAAACTGGACTTACAGACAGTTGTGAGCTGCCATGTGGGGGAGCTGTGAGGGACCACACTGACCCTGCCGGGGAGGTTGCACCTGGAGCCAATAGCCTGAGTCCTTTAGGTGAGTCAACGGTAGACCCTCAGCTCAGTGAGGGCCTGGAAGTTAGTTGCTCATGCCCACTCATCACCACAGATGCAGGTGGGAAGGAAGAGCCTATTTCTCTGGGCTTATGTCCCGCAGGCTCCCCAGGACCTCCACTGTCTGGATGTGAATCACCCCTGGAGTAGCGTTTACCCACTACTGCATACCAGGTAATGGAGTTACAGGACATCCATTGGAATCATCTTGCTGGATACAGTGGGGTGGGTGTGACAAGGTAGGCAAATACTTCTATTTCAAACTGTTCTGCTAACTCTGCAGAACAGGAATTGCAGGGTTACTGCAACCAGCTGGAGAAGCATGGATTAACCCATAACCTGGGAAGCAAGCCCTTTCAGCTATGGGTGCCTCCTCAGCCAGTATCTGCACAGGCAGTGGGTACAGTGAGTGAGGGCAAGATGGGGGTGATGGTGCTCCACCAGTTTAGGTGTCTCAGGCGGCTTGGGTGCCTTCTGCCCCTCTTGGCTGGCTAGCAAATGCCCGCGTCTTCCTGAAATGGAATAAGTGTGTCCCATTCTAAACTCTCTAGTATACCCGCTGCATTATCTCTTTGCCACCATCGTGGGAACGGAATTAAAGTAGTTACATTCAGGGCAGAGGTGCTAACCACAGGTTCAGATGGCGATGCCATTTGACAATACACAGTAACGAGAGGCTCGCGGACAGTATAGCCAGTGTCAGGGCCCAGACACATTCTGTCGTTGGCCTGGGACCTCACAGGAGGGTTGAAAGCACACTGGAGTGGAATGCTTATGGTCCTAGAACATTCTCTGTGCCTGTCCTCTGCAGGCCACAGTGACCCTGTGAGGAGCTCATGCCACTCTGCATAGATCTCACACGGGTGGGAGAGGATGTGTCTGTCCCAGTAGAAGTGACTTTTTGCTTCTGCTTTGGAAAGGGCATCAAATTCAATACAAGTCCAGACCATTCTCATGTTGCCTGAGTGAGAGATATTTGCTAACGTAAATGTACTAATGGTGACATTGTGGGAAGGAACAAAAAGCTACTATGACCTTATCCCTATCGTGTGCCTGGCCTTGTAGAGAAGAGGTCATGAGTAGTAATAAAGATGATCATTAACTTGGGGAGAGGTTAAAGGTGACTGGCTGGTGAGTGGGTGCCGCTGGGGCAGCGGGCAGGCTCTGCTAGGAGCCGCAGGGCAGCACTGGCAGGAAGTGGCAGGGTGGGGCCCGTCAGGATTCCGCTATCTCAGGCAGCCCAATCACTGACGCCCACACAGCCGTTTCCTGCACTTAAAAAAAAAATCTGTTTCTCTCTTTGCAAATCAACAACTTTTACCTAGAAACTTTAGCGGTGAGTTCTGACTGATCTCCGTCTTCGTCCGTTGCAGAAAATACACCACTGTTTACCTGGGGGAGGTGTGCGCTCACTGGCAGTTTTCAAGCTGTTTTGCATGCGTCTGAAAGCAGTCAGTTGCCTCAGGCTCAGACAGACACCTGCAGGTTATTTAATACCTTGACAGACCTTTCTAGAAAAGATCTCCAGGCATGAAAATGCAGCGCTTTCAAAACACCCAACTTTTCTGCACACCCCAGCAGCCTACATACTCTGTAGCTTCAAGGAGAGTACTGTATCCTTGGCTTTGGGGTGGGGGGGGCACCACAACAGACGCAGCTGATCCCTAGGTGAACTGAAATGAGCTAGGACAAACAGAAGATCCCAAGAGACATGGAGCTGGGAGAACGCAGCATGTAACTATATGCCGCCCAGACCCAAACTATACATCCCGAGTGCAACCCTCAGGGGACCCTGCACCTGGGACGGCTGGGTGCACACGGAATGTAAGGCAGACCTGTACACCATTCATCATGCCGTGTGTTTTACTTACAAGCCTGGGCCCGAGCTGTGGAAAACTGAGGCAGGTGAGCTTTGGGCATGTATCCAAGGCAGCCCATGGACATCTGCCTGAGGCCCTCATGTCCCCAAAGCAGCCTGACTAAACAACTCCTTAGATTTTTGTTGGAAAGGTGGACCAAAGCTAAGTGGCCACTTCCAGGCACACGGACTCGGCAGGGTTTTTCAGAGAGTCTCTGTCCCTGGGCTAGAAAAGCCCAGGCAGGAAGATGGTAGCACATCTCACATGCAGGGCAGTCACAATGAGGAAAGCCACTGTCACTCACAATTCCTGCTTGAATCAGCTAAAACAGTCTGGAGAAGCACTGCCGTTGTCCCACGTTTTCTACCAGGTACACCACCCGTAGGGGTCCTTGGGAGCAGGGTGCCCTACCTCCTCCATCCCCTCCTAGCCATGCTGGGACCAGCTCTCCCACTGCAGAATTCCACATGTGATATCGCAAGGATCTGAACGATGGAGCTGAGGGCTGTTTTTGCTGTACACTGGTCACGTGGTTTTCCTCAATGGAAAAAGGGTGGGCAGAAAAGCACCATCCAAAAACAGGGCATGATGAGGCATGAAGTCTGAGGCAGGAGAATTGTCGAGTTCCAGGTTATGACAGAGATCCTGTCTCAGACATAAAATAAAATAAAGGCCCCACTTCAGCGTGGCTATGTCCCTTCTTAAGTGGTCAGAAGACAGAAAGTGCCCTGGCTCCTGAGCAAGTCCAGCCATGTCAGTGTGAACTGTTGCCCCATCCACCTGAGAGTAGCTGTGGCATGTGTGGTATGGATGGGACACAGGAAGAAGTGCAAGATTGGGCTCCAAATCCATGCATGAACCAGGCACTTGATGCTAAATGCTTTCCCATCAAACAGGGCTAATTAACAAGTCAGCTAAGGCAGGGGAGGGTCCTGAGCTGTGCACTGGTACCATGGCGGTACCTGCATGGTTAGAGACTAGCATGAGATTAACACAACCACAGCATAGGATGCTGGGCTTACATGCACCCCACACACGTCTGTACCTACCACCCAGCAGTGTGTACATGGCCGCGCCTTTCTGTCCAGCTGCTGCTTCTGGGTAGAGTGAAATGAAAAACGCTTAGGCCCCCCACAGGTACTCTGCATCTGCTCAGGATTACAGTGCACGAGAGAGCCCCAGTTCTCAGGATGCTGGGACCCTCCTGGCTGGGTTCTCCTGATTGCTGATGTAAGAGCAAATGGCAGGTAACAAGAGACAAGTAATGGAGGGGAGGGGAGGACCAAGTCCAGGTGCAGATGCCATCTTCCCCTGTGACTCTGGGTGGCCCCCATGCCCTCTTGTTCCCTTTCCTCTGTGGTAAGTAGACATTGTGTTGCCTGCCCTGTCTATCGCAGGGTCTCACTAGCATCAGAAAAGATGAGGGATGCACCAGGCCTCCCAAAGTCAGACAGCAAGAACACACATGCACACACACCCAAGGCACAGTGGCTGTGACAGAACCCAGATCTACATCATTGAAAAAGCACCAGATTCAGAGCCTCAAACAGGTGGCTGAGGGCCATGAGGTCCCGATCCTGGGCTGATTCTTGAGAAGACTCCACTGCAATGCGAGGTACAGGGCCATTGAGCACTCAGCACTTCACAAGCTGCCTGCTCTCTAAATTCAGCGTGAGGAGAGGACACACAAGGACATGGGAGGCCATGTGGGACAGTGTCAGCACTGTTTGTGTCCATGAGAGCATGTCTGTGGACACACATGATGCAGGAGTGAGTGTAGTATTTGCAGGTGTGCAGGTGAATGCCTGTGGCACATCTGACACAGGCAGTGGGCACACTGTAGGAATGAATGCTCACTTGACACTCGAACATTTGACACCATGAGTACATAAGCAAAACATACATAGGCACACACACATTCAAGCTTTTGTTTTCAAAGTGCATGTGAGCCGTGAGTGATGGAATATGCATGTGGGCACGCACACACACTGCCTGTGAATGAGGGGCACATGTTTTTGCATGCTACATCCGAGGTGATGGAGTGCAGGGTGCTGCCCACAGTAGAAGGACTCCCCTGTACTTCCAGGCCAGGTCTTTTACAGATGCCCCTTTCCCACCCTTTCACAGAGGATATGCTCTCATCATACAGTCTGCCAGCCTGTCCCTGAGAGGCACTAGTGACAGGAGGGGAGGGCAGCCTCTTCAGGATAACCCTCCCTCTATCTTCTGTAGGTGGTCTGTGAAGGTGTCCTGCTGCCAAGGACAACCTGGATAGCAGAGTGGGGTGGATGATGGACAGGAGCCTGTAGGGACAGTTGTGGCCCTGTGGCCACCTGCTCTTATTAGGGACTGGAAAGAAATGTTTCCTCTTTTTCAGTATTAGATATCAAAGCCAGGACTTCAGGCATGCAAGGCCATTGAGCTCTGTTCTCAACCCTTCATATGGGAATCACAAGTACTCAGGATATGCTAGGGGAGGGCACAGTGGCCCTCTCTGGATAGCAGGGTTCAGGATTGGGAGGTTATAGGGAAGAGGGCAGGAAGCCCCTCTGGCAGCCTTCTCCTGACCAGGTGGGCCAAAACTACCACCTTACCCCAACACTCAGGGTCCCTGCTGCAGCCACCGTGGGAACTTGGCATGAGGCCAGGAGGATGTTGGACACTAAGGGATGGTGCAGATATAGGTACACTGATGCAGGCGCCTTCAGGGGGACCTTCATGTGGATACTATCACAGCCAGGACCTCGGGACAGGGAAATAGCATAGCACACATAGCTCAAGCCGAGGGCAATGGGGAGGTATTGGAGCAGAGGGGAAACTCTCCTACCCTGGAGTCTACTCTACTCTGCTCAATGGAGGGGCCCTGTGCCCGCCGCCCTGTCCCCACGGGCGGGTGCCGCGAGAGGAGGAAGCGTACTGACCGCTGGGCGGTTTGGGCCGTGGAGGAGCGGGCTTCTTCGGAGGCAGAGCGGGAGTGTCCTGTTTACTTTTAAAGGGGTCATCTGAGAATCCTGTGCCTCCCAAGGAGGAGGAGAAGGGGCCAGAAGGTGGGGGCTGTAAGAGAGGACACGAAAGAGGCAAAAACAGACATTAAAAAGAAGGCACCGGGCAAATACTCCCGCACCAAGAGCCCTGGCAAGACCAGGGTCCTCTCAAGACTCCACTTTCCTCCACCCTCAAAAGCCAGGCCCTCTGAATGAAAGGGAAGCCACCAATACAAGCAGCAGAGGGTAACCCTATTCCCCAATTGTCTCTCTTGCTCCATTATGGGATCTTTCTCAGCTCAACACTACACATGGGTTCCTGGGACGTCAGCTCATGTTCAGAGATGCGTATGGCCTCAGCCTCTGCTGGCCTGATGCTGGAACAGACCCTCTCTATGCCCCCAGAGCCTGTATGCTGCAGCCCGCTGAGTGATTCAGGCTGGAGTGTCTGCTCCAATGCCTGCCCCCCTTCATCTGCTGGCACAACCACACTACTTCCGTTAGCTCTATCCACTCGTGGCAGCTACTTCTACTTCAGCTTGTTTCCCTACCCAAGGCTTTAGTCTCAATTAAAGCCCCAATTCCCGTTTGAAATAAGACAGTTATAAACAGGTGGATGAGGGAGTGGATGAATATGTGGAGTGGTGAATGGATAGACAGACATGTGGGTAAGGGTGGATGGGACCTGTGGGTGAGCATGGTGGGACATGTCGTGGATGAGACGTGGGTGAGGGTGGATGGATAAATGCATAGACTGATGTGGTTAAATGGGTGAGTAGATGCATGGGTGTGTAGGTGAATGGGTGGTAGAATAATGGTTAGTTTAAATCCTCAACCTGCATAATCCACAATCACCAGGGAAGAAATTCTCAACAATGAGGGCTCCAAGTCTAGATAAGGTTGGCCTGTAGGCATGGGAGAAGGGACCATTTTGATTACGATTACATGAACTGAGGTGGGAAGACCTGCCCACTGTGGGTGGCAACATAGACTATAAGCAAAGATAGAGGGCTAAATACAAACATTCACGCATTTATCCCCTGCTCTGGACTGTGAGTATGACTGGCTGCTTCAAGCTACACTGACTTCCCCACAGTGATGGACCAGGATATTTTATGACAGCAACATGAGAAGAGCAGGACAGATGGATGGGATAACGAGTAGATGGACAGCAGATAGATACATAGTGGACTGATGGGGGTAGTCTGGTGGATGGATGGGTGGAGAAAGGAGGAGGAGGAGGGAGGGGTGGTAAACAGAAGTCAGGCCGCAAATGGGGCTGGTGTACCAAGCGCACTCTAAGTGCTCTTCAGGGTGTACAGGTGCCAGGTCTTGGCCTCATTTGAGCCCATCTCCTCAAAAAAACAAAACAAATAAATACAACTAGGTATGGTGGTACATGGGATAAGGCTAAGAGGAAGGCCTAAAAAACACTGGATAGACAGCATAGAGGAGGACTGTGGAACCTTGGGTGTGACACTAACACAAGCATCTAGGACTGCCCAGGATGGGAACAGCTGGAGAACCGCCATAAACAGGCTGCCCATGCACACTTAAGCACTGCCAGGGCATAAATGATGATGAGGAGATACGATGGACTGTGAAGCTCTATGAGGCTCCCTGGAAACTCGGCCAAGTACTAGAGACCCCAGGGGAAGTTTAGCAGATGGACCCACTCTGGTCCGAGCCCTGCCTGTCAATAATCACTCTGTCTTGGCACTGATTCAGTGGTGGGCCTGGGCCTCCCCCTGCTGGTAAAGGGCTCCCACCACTCATGGCATCCTTCCCGGTTCAGGGTCAGTGTCTGTGGCTGGCAGGTGCCTGTGTGTCAGCATCATAGGGATGCAGTGCCTCTTACCTATGGGGGAGACACCCTCTGACAGACAGTGGACAAACCACAGTGGCAAGATCATTTGAGATACTCGCAGGAAAGAGCTGGAGCCTCCCATGTGGGAGAAAGATCTCTGTGGTATGGCAAGAGGTAGGTTTCCTGATCCTCCTGCCTCAGTCTCTTGGGTGCTAGGAGGGCAGGCAGGTACTATCACACCTGGTGGAGAGCATGCAAATAGGAAAGAGAAATGGAAATGCTAAGAGGGATTGCTGTGACCCCTGGACCTGCATGGTGGAAAACAAGAAAGTGAAATGCAGGGGCAACGGGTGATGAAGGGCACTGGCTGCTCTTGTGAGGTCCACATGGCAACTCACAACCATCTGTAACTGCAGCTCCAGGAGTCTAACAGAGCTTTGTTGCATAAGACATATATGCAAACAAAATACCGTACGCATAAACTAATTCTTAAGTGAAATATCTGACTGGATACAGTGCTACAGACCTTTAACCCCAGGACAGACAGATCTCTGTCTGAGTTTGAGGCCAGTCAGGGTGCTACAGGGTGAGACTCTGTCATGGATAATTCAAAGTCAACTTGACATAAGCTAACATCATCTGAGAAGAGGGAGTTATAATGAAGAAAATGCCTCCAGCTGAGTGGTGGTGGCACATGCCTTTAATCCCAACACTTGAGAGGCAGAGGCTGGCAGATCTCTTGAGTTAGAGGCCAGCCTGGTCTACAGAGTGAGTTCCAGGACAGCCAGAGCTATAAGGAGAGACCTTGTCTTGGAATTAAAAAAAAAAAAAAAGATTTAAAAAGTCCCCATAAATTTAGGCTGCAGGCAAACATGTAGGGCATTTTCTTACTTAGTGGTTGATGGGGTAGGGTTCAGCCCATTGAGGGTGGTTCCATCTCTGGTCTGATGGTCATGGGGAGCAAGCCAGTAAGCAGCTTCCCTCCACAGCCTCTGCATCAGCTCCAGCCTCAAGTTCCTGTCCATTTGAATTTCTGTCCTGACTTCCTCTGATGTGGAAGTGTAAGTGAAATAAACCCTTTCCTGTTTAAGCTGTTTTGGTCATGATGTTTCATCACAGCAATAGGAACTCTAACTAAGCTGGGCCGTGGTGGTTCACACCTTTAATCTCAGCGCTTGGGAGGCAGAGGCAGGTGAATACCTGTGAGTTCGAGGCCAGCCTGGTCTACAAGAGCTAGTTCCAGGACAGCTAGGACTATTACGCATGGAAACCCTGTCTCGCAAAACCAAAAAAAAAAAAAAAGGAACTCTAACTAAGACAGACTCTTTCTCAAAAAGAACAAAATGTTAAATAAAGTAAAGAACACATTTTACCCAACATATAAAATAGTAAAGTCCAGGTCAAATAAATTCACTATTGACAAAAACCAGAAGGACCAAGCCAGGTGTGATGGCATGGCTGCCACCACGGTGTCTACAGCCCTGGGCAGACGTGAGAATAAGAGTGACACGAGACTCCTCAAAGGAGCCCAGAGTGAGAGGAGGGTTGGTGCTTTCTATTTCCTCCCCGCAGGGCAGGCCGAGGACAGGGTCACCAAAGCACCCAGAACCCGAGGCAGCACTCAGACAATGTACCCATCACCCTGCTGGAGAGGTGGGGAGAGTGTGACTCATCCAGTCACAGGGAAGACGCTCGGCTCTAGTCACAAGTTCTGTGCAGCAGGGGCACGGCAGGGCCTGCAGAAGCTACAGCTCCTTCCTCAGACCCCTCAGTGCCTCTGGCTCCCAGGCAGGAAGGAGATGGCTGTCCTGCTACTCTTACCCTCTTCCTAAGGGCTTGCAAGAGAACCCTACTGCCATCACACACAGGTAAACTGAGGCACAGGAAGGCTTGCCCAGACTGTACCGCATGTCAGTGCTGACCCAGGGCTAATACAGCTTGTCTACTACCCAGACTTGGACTAACTCCATGGCACTGTATGAAGGGCAGACACCTAGAACTCCCCATTCTCAGGCTGAAGGAGACACACATGGCTTTAGGGGAGAAATAGCCAAGAGCAGATACAGGGAGAAGGCAGTTCCTCCAAAAGAAAACAGCGTTCTAGGGCTGGAGACACAGCCAACAGGTCAAGTACCTGAGCTTCCTAGTACCCTCGGAAAAGCCAGGTGCTGCAGCATCTATGGCTTGTGTCTATGGTGTGAGGGGAATTGGGTTTCCCAACCTGGGCTAAAATCCCAGCCCAGCTCTCTGCCTTGATTTCCCATCTGTGACATGACAGAGACAATCCGCCTCATTGTCAAGAGTGTCCTGGAAAGGAAGAGTTAGGGAAAATGCCACACACTGGATACATCAGCAGAGATGCCACAATGAATAGAGCGGCCCCCACCTTGTCACAGTCCCTCACACTGAGAGTATGGAGGAGTTCCAGAAAAACAGCTCCTGAATCTCAAATAACATTGCAGCATACTGTAACTGTTCATTTGCCAGTTGTGCCTTGTTTAAAAGTCATACTGTGTCAGAACTGCAGGTGCAGAGGAAAGTGAATATGAGGTTCAGGCATCCATTGGGGAAGGGCTCCCAAGATGGGTCTCCACAGGCTAAGAGTATGGTGAGGCACACGAGCAGGATCCTATCTCTTTCTGGAGCCTGTGTCTACAGACCCTCACTCTTCCTGCCTCTGGGGAGCGGAAGGAGGTAGACTAGGGCCATCTACAGGCTAGTGGTTGTTTTTTCTAGATAGGGTCTCACTATAAACCCGAGGCTGCCCTTATATGCATGCATCTCTAGCCTCCAGACAAGACACAGGATAACAGAAAAGGTGGTGCATGCCTCTCAGTGTCTTTTGATGTTGGCAAGAGGCTCAATGTACTTGCAAGCAAGCCTGTTGACCTGAGTTTGATCCTCAGGTTCAATGGTGGAAAAAAACCACCGACTCAAGCAAGCTATCTTTGAGTTCCACATGGGTGCCACAACACCTGCACCACTCCTCCCAAAGAGAAGTCACCTGTTAGCTGAAGTGAACTGTGTGATGGCCTGTGTGATACAGTCCTGGTCCTGGGGCCTGAAATACAGAAGTGGACAGAGGGTGCAGTGTGGACACAGTTCCCTGGTCTCCTGACTTGGGAAGCCCTGACACCTGGTGACAATGCTGTCTGACCTTCTGGCTAGCTGCAATGTCTCCTTGGGGCTTAACTGTGTCAGCCTGGCTCTCCTCATAGTGGTCTAGCTTATCTAGTGCCACAATGCCCAGGAATTTCCCAGTACCGGTTTTATTCTTTTCTTCCTTCCTTCTTCCCTTTCTTCCTTTTCTTTCTTTTTTGAGGAAATGTCTTCACTGTATAGCCCTGGCTGACCTGAACTCACTATGAAGAGCAGGCTAGCCTTGAACTCACAAAGCTCCACCTACCTCTGCTTCCCAAGAGCTGGGATTAAAGGTGTCTTTCACCAGGCCAGCTTGTATCCCTAGTTTTGATGATTTTAGGTTTACCACCATGTTTCTTTTGGGATCTGGCTCTCTCCTAGTCAGGCAGTGGATTCAAGGCAGGCTGTATTTTTAACGAGGTTCCTGTGAAGCCTGGGTACTGGGGAGGAACAAGGCCACCGCAACGGCCTCAGAATTGTGTTAATGTAGACTGCTCAGACCTTCTGGAAAGCAGTTTTGAGGAACAGTGAAAAAGGACTGGGGGCATGGCTAAGGGGTGAATCTCCTGCCTGGCATGCAGGGGACCCTATGTTCCATCAGCACCACTGCAAAGATTTTTTTAAAAAAAGAAAGAAAAAAAAAAAACCCACGACAAGGTTGAAAAGTCACTGAAAATGGGCTGTCATCCACCCCGCTACTTCACAGGTGGCTTTTCTTCTGGGTGCGGGTGGAGAGAAGGTGAAAGAAGTTAGCCTTATTTACATTCTGAAGTGCTCTATGAACACACTTTAGAGAACTTACTTACTTTGATTTCCTTTTCGGCTGGAGTGCTGGGATGAACCCAGGGCCCTGATCATGCTCTGCAGGCTCGTGCCACTGACCGCACCTGCAGTCGGGGGAACTCATTTTTAAAGCAAGCAAATGTCACCAAAGCTCAACAACTGCCTAGATATTCCTCTGGGAACCTGTACTGGCTAGTTTTATGTCAACTTGACACAAGCTGGAGTCATCTGAGAAGAGGGAGCCTCAGTTGAGAAAATGCCTCTGTAAAATCTGACTGTAGGCCAACCTGTGGGCATTTTCTTAATTACTGATTGATGGGGCAGGCCCAACTCATGGTGGGTGGGGCCAACCCTGGTGGTCCTGGGTTCTATAAGAAAGCAGGCTAAGCAAGTCAGGGGAAACAAGCCAGTAAGCAACATCTCCACAGCTTCTGCCTCCAGGTTTCTGTCCTTTGTGAGTTCCTGTCCTGACTTCCTTGATGATGAACAGTGATGTGGAAGTGGAAGCCAAATAAACCCTTTCCCCCCAAGTTGCTTTAGTCATAGACTTTCATTGCAGCAGTAGAACCCCTAAGGCAAAGTCCTCCACTGCCTGAAGGTGCCTGCTGTCACTTTCCTCAGCACAGCTGTGTGAGGTAGGACACTCTTAACTTGAGGAGCGAGGAACGGCACGCATTGCGGCCCCACCCTGATCAGGTGCAGAAGGCTGGTGGTGGTGATGGTGAAAAAAAAGAAAAAAGAAAGCTAAAAGAAAAAAGCCCTCACCACTCTACTTTCATTTCCCTCCAGACTTATTTATACCGGGTGTTGTTCTTGAAAACTAACAAGGTAACCAGAGAGGAAAATCAGTGGGGGTGGGGGTGGGGCGGGCACAGGCTTTACAAGTGTCCTGAAGTCGAAGAGCCCCAGGATGGTGTAAACAGTGTACGGGACAGGATTTTCCACAGTCCCAGCCAACTGTGTCCTGGCCTGGTGCCGAGAACAGGAAGTGGGCCTGGCTTTCCTATCCCAGTTGTGGGGGGGTATGGGGAGACAGAGGCTTATCTGGGGGGTTCATCAGGAGAAGGGGACCTATGCAACTGGATAGTACCTGGGCAGAGGGACAGGGAATGACTAGATAGGGGTGGGAGCTAGCATCTACTCCAGTCTCAAATCCCAGCATCCCAGGTGGAGAGAGGCCCAGGCCCTGACCCTCAGCCACACAGATGGTCATGACCTCTCAGTGAACACTTAGAACTCACTAACATTTTCACACGTGTGTGATGCATTCCCGTAGTCCTGTCATTCCTTTCCATTCTCACAAACCCCTTCCTCACTCCTACTTCCACGTCTTTGGTTTCTGTGATTCTGAGCTGAATTAGGGCTGCTCACATGAGCACGGGCAACCAGCCAGTGGCCAGCCACAGCACAGTGGAGAAAACGCCCTTCCCATCAGCAACCTACAACTACAGATACCTTGTACACTTGCTTAGGCCTTCCCTGGGACGGACAATGAACAGAGAACAGATTCCAAGCCTAGAATAGTTGCCCCTCAGAAAGGAGCTCATAGCTCCTGATCACCAGCCCTTATTAGCTGCTGCCCCCATGTGGCCAACGTGCCCTGACTGTAGGAGTTGGGCTCCCAGGGCTGCCTCTGCTTCTCCAAAGTCAGGTGCTGCCGAGGTACTGGCTGCTCCTGGACCTGCATGTATGGGGTCCCTGAGTGTGCTGGAAGCCAGGCCTGCCTCCCTGTGCTGCTGTGTAGGTCTATCACTGTGCTCAAAACTTGCAGCATGTCAAGTGTGTTTTGGAAGCACCATGTCACATTGCATGTTGAGTGAAAAGAAGGCATGATGGGGGAGGGCAGGGACCCCATGTGGTTGGCCTCCATCTCCTGGGGTTTCCACCACCCTCACACTGAAGACAGAAAGACAGTGAGTGCACACAGGCAGCGTTCCTTCTGACTGCAAAAGAACCATGGACACTCGAAGCCACCCAGACATGCAGTCTGTGGCACTGAGTTAAATCACAGGAGGGATGCTAGTGAGGATTTTAATATCCCCTGGGCATCATGCAATACATCTTTATGGATACCAAGGGATGCCTGTGCCCTCAGAATGCCCTCCTACCGCCTCCTTCAGGTGGACGAAACCAAACCAACAGGGGACAGGATTGCTGCCTGGTGACTCTCACCACCACCTGGCCCCAATAGAAGGATGGATTCTGCTAGGGAAACTGAGCCTCATGAGAAACATTTGCAAGGCACACCACATGTTTCAAGCATAGATATGATGCCCTGCCAGGGCAGGACAGGAGAGCATACCTGTAGCACTACTGTTCTTAGATGTTTGGGGGCAGTGCTTCCCTGCATAGCCCAGGCTGGCTGCCTCAGCCTTCCACGGTTTGCTGCTACAGCTGGTTTTACTTTTTAATTCATTACTAAAGATGATACCAACATACATTCACTGGCGTGCTAGGCTGGGACTGGTGACTTAGTCCATCTCACTAAGACCACAACTCTAGATTAGCAAGTTCTTCATAAGGATGAGCCCTGCAGCTTTCTTCTCAGGCAGGGCTAGCTCCTAGTAGCCTAGCTCCTAGTAGCCCAGGCTAGCCTCCAAATCACCTGAGCCCACTACCAAGTGCTGGAGGAAGATGTGCACCCACCTAGGCCTTGAGCTGCTCTACTTGGGCTGACTGCTTGCTGAGCTCAAGATGTTGAGCTCTTAAACTCCATGTTCCCTCAATGAGTGACACTAGCCACTGTGCATCACAGAGCCAGAGCAGACAGGGAAGCTTTACAGGACCCTGTTGAGAACACGGCTATGGCTTCCATCCTTGAACAGTACAAGCTGTCTTCATGTGTGTATTTGTTCACCTCTGCTGTGAGCTTGCCTCACCATTCAATACCCTCAAGAGTTGGTCCCTGGAGGTTCCAGACATTTGTGTGGTCCACTTTCTCCAGACACCTCAAACCTGAGACTTGTCATGCCTCCTGGGACCATGCGTCTGACTCTTCCTTCCCAAGCCACACAGACAACTGTGCTGCCTTGGGCCACTCCCTGACCTTGAGTGTCACAGAGGAGCCACTTCCCATTTGTCAGATCTAAGAGCAAGAAGGCAGTGGAATGACTGCACCAGGAGGGACTTGGCCATGGCAGCTTCAAATGTACACAGGTAATATCCTATCCCAGGTCAGGGCATTTTCTAGACCCTATCCGCTCTCTGCTGTGTAGAGTTGCACTCAAAGAGTGTGACAAGTGCAAGCACATACATATGTGGCAACAGTTATATCTGCCCACCCACAAGAGGCGGGTAGACACAAACTGTGGCTGGAACTTCCTGGGAGGAGTCTTACCTTGGACATCTGGCTGAAGTCAGCGAAGCCCTCGGCACTGCTGAAGGAGCCGCTTCCAAAGGGGTCTAGGGTTCCAAAGGGATCTGTGAGGAGCACCAATACAGTTGGGGTTAAGGTCTGAAGAGATGTGCCTAAGCATCAAGAGGTAATCCTAGGGTCCAGGAGTAGGAAACTCGGGGCCATGAATGTCTCTGGGAAGATGGCTTCTGTGAGGCTCATGGATCACAGTGATCAAAGGAGAGACTGGTCCTGCCGACCTACCAGTCCAGGAGAAGCAGGTGACATGGAAAGAATGAGCCATTTGAGGGTGGCCAGCACAACACAGTCTATGTGTGTGTAGGGCCATCAGTTAGGAGAGATTCCCCCATCCCCGGCTTTTCAGATAAGGTCTCACTCTGTAGCCCAGGTTGGTCTAAATCTTATAGAGATCCTCCTGCCTCTTGACTCCTGAGTGGCGGGCTTATTAAAGGTGTGCACCACCATGCCTGGGTCTGTTTCAAAACCAGTGATCCTCTAGGTTGTTTCCGAGTGCTGAGGTCAGAGGTGAGGGCCACCATGCTTGGAAACTGTGGACTATTCCCATTAAGGACAATGAGCAAATGGCCGCCAGCACTGGTGTTAACAGATAGACTGTCTGGAAGGACGCCAGCTCCTGTTGGGACAGACAGGCCTATGTGGAATGGGAGCATCTACTTCGGCCTTATGGTCTACCTAAGGCTATACAAATCTAGGGACTGAGGGAATTACTGAGGTGTGAAGTGGTGGGGAGAAGGGGGAGAGAGAGCCTCAGGTCTCACCTGATCCTTTTGAGGAGATGCTGGAGGAAGAGAAAGGATCACTGGACTCAAAAGGGTCGAGCTGAGGGACAAGAGAGAAAGAATTTACTCGGTCATCTACCCATTCATACCTGTACTTTCCAACAATTTCAAATGCCATAAGCAATAGCACACCTCAGGGAGGGTGGGGTGATTCAGACAAACCTGGGCTGTGGAGGGTAACCCTCAACATGCACCCTGCAGCAGACAACCAATGCTACTGTCCCCACAAATTACCAGTAAACTGGAGGCCTAAGAAGTGAGCCAAAGCCACAGGCACAGAGGGCATTAAGATCCGGCAGAAGTGGAGCCCCTGCCTAGAATCCCTCAGTGAGGATTAGAGGCATGGCTCAGGGGTAAAACCTTTGCCTAGAATTTCCCAGTGAGGTGCTGACGGTGTGGCTCAATAACGGGAGGGAAGTCTGTCTTTCAATGGAAGGAAGAGAATCAGAAATGACAAATGACAAATGCCTGGCCAATTCTATGAGTACTTAAAGGGCTTGGCTGCGTATGACTTTAATCCCAGCAGTGGGGAGGCAGAGGGAGGTGTATCTCTGTGAGTTTGAGGCCAGGCCTGGTCTACAGAGTGAGTTCAGGACAGCCAAGGCTACAAAGAGAAACCCTGTCTCAGGCCAAAATAAACAAACAAATAATAGATAAACAAACAAACAAACAAATAAAATGGAGTGGTTAACTCTTTTAAATTCAAAGTGCCTGTCATCCAAACACACAGGAGGTCAAGGCAGGAGGATTGCTGCAGGCTTTTGAGGCCAATTGGGACTATCCAGAGAGAATATGGCTCAAAAGGAAAAGAGAAATAGAGAGATCCATATAGCAAGGATCAAAGCAAAAATAACAAATGCTGCCAGCACTGTGGAGGCAGAGAAAGGCAGATTTCTGGGTTCCAGGCCAGAGAATACCTGTCTCATTAAAAAAAAAAAAAAAAAAGTTCAGAGCTGGAGAGGTGGCTCAGTGGTTTCAAGCACTGGCTATCCTTCCAGTGACCAGAGCTGGGCTCCCGGCACCTGTATGTATCTCAAGGTGCAAGGATCTGATGCCCTCTTCTGGACTCCATAGCCACCAGGCACTCATGTGGTATACAGTCAGACATGAAGACAAAACACCTATACAAATAAAATAAAAACTTCTTAAAATCTTTTCTTTAAAAAAATCTCAACAGAAAAACAATTATATGTTGTGATTCACTCTCCAACATGTTGGGCAAAGTGACTGGATTCTAGAAGATGTAAAATTGTACATACATAATGAGCTATTTTGGCGATGGGAACCCAGTCTCAACATGAAGTCCATTTGTTTCTAAGTGTGTGGGTGTGAGTGTGTACAGCAAAGGCCAGAGGCAGCCTCTGCCTTATTTCTTTTAGGCAGTCTCTTACTGAACCTGAAGCTGGGCTGACCATCAAGTCCCAAACATCTTCCTGTCTCTACCCAGCTCAGGGTATGTTGTACATGTCCAAGATCACAGGTAACTTGTTTTACAGGTGCTGGGGCCTGCATGCCCACCTCAGGTTTTCACAGTTGTGTTCTTGACTGCCGAGCCACCACTCCAGCACCCCGTTACCCCAGCACCACCACCAACCCCGTTGGGGTTTTGTTTTTGTTTGAGACAGTGTCTCACAATGTCTCACTACTTGCTCTGATGGCCAGGATGGCCTGGAATTCTGTTGTTTCTTATATTCTATAACAGCTGGAAGGGAAACTGGCACAGCATTCTGAGTGCACTTGTGCCCTGGCTATATGTCCAGCCATATGAGGTCACTTGTATCATGACGTCAGGTCTGGTAGGGGCAGTTAGGTCTTCTGAAAGTTACATGGAGGGAAGAGTAAGAAGCTTGGCACCTCTCAGCCTTTTGGTTCCTTACTTCCACAAAAATGCTCCTTCTGGGCAGGGCTGTTTTCCTTCTCTGGCTGCTGCTATGTTGCCCCCACAACAAAACCAGTGGCCACACTACTCTGGACCTCTGAACCAAAATAAACCTCTTTGCTTTATTGTCAGCCTCAGGAATTTTGTTAGAGTAACAGAAAACAGGCCAACACCTAAGAGGGTGATAACTCAGAAGTTATCTAACTCAGTGATTTGCACCACCTAGATCCCAGAGCACAGCCAAGGGACAATTCATCAAGCAAAGGTGCTTGCTGTCAAGTCTGACAATCTAAGTCAACAATCCTAACAACCTACTTGGTGGAAAAGATATCAACTTGTTATCTTGACATCAACATATGTTGTGGCACTGACAAGTGTATACACACACACACACACACTAGGGGCTATGGACTCCTCAGTGGTTAATAGCGCTTGGTGCTCTCTTGTTGAGTCTGGTTCCCAATATCCATGTCAGATAACTCACAGCAAATTGAACTCCTGCTCTAGGGGATATGATGTTTTCTTCTGCCCTCCAGGGCACCTGCACACATGTGGCACACACAAATTCATATAGATACATGTTGCCCAGGATGACCTGGGACTCCTGGGCTCAATTCTTCTCCCACCTTCACCCTCCTGAGCAGAGAGGACAAGTGTCCAGCTACTCGTGATATTTTACTACAGCTGTGGGAGAGGGAGTGGAGGTGGGAGGCAGAGGACCACAGCAGAGGAGATGGAGTGGAGGTGGGAGGCAGAGGACCACAGCAGAGGAGAGAGACAGGAAGGGACAAGAGCTATTTGAGGAATTGCCCTCGCCCTGACTTGGTACTGTAGTACATTGGCTCACAAGACAGGACTTGGCAATGGACAGACAGTGTTGGGAGCCGCCTCACTGACCAGGAATGAGACCACCCTTATAATCCCAGCTCCTGGCCAAGCGAGCCAGCCTCCTGAACACCACAGCCCCATCCAAACACACATCAAATCAGACCTGCTCGAGTGGACCCCACACAGAGACTACTCTACTCACCTTTGGAGGTAAGGAAGGGTTCTTCGTGAAGGGGTCTGAGGTAAATGGGTCGTTCTTTGTCTGTTTCTTAAAGAAGTCATCAGTGGTTGAACTATGGAATGGGTCACTTTCTTTGAAGGGATCCCCTCCAAATGGGTCTAGAAAGAGAGGGCACAACTGGTGAGCAAAGATACTAGAAGGACGTAATAAGGAGCAGGTACCAGGGAGAGGTAAGGAGTGGATGCCAGGGAGAGAAGGCTCAGAATGAGGCACAAATTGTGAGTGATCAGTTGCCCCAGGGTTAGGATGGGGACACTGGCCCCAAGTGAAAACCGTTCTGGGTGATGGACTGTCTTTCAACCTTCCACAGTTTTACACATCTGTCAAAAGCTTTACTGGGCATTTGCTGCCAAACCTAACAGCCTGACGCACATGGAGGAAGCAGAGAACTGACTCCTGAAAGTTGTGCCCTGACTTCCACACGTGGCACACACACACACAACAGTTAGAAGTTTCTTGAGACAGGATCTTGCTATGTAGGCTGGCTTTGAACTCAAGAGATCCATCTGTCTCTGCCTACTGAGTTACTGAGTTCTGGGGTTAAAGGAGAAATCTGTGATAGGTACATTCTGCTCTGTAATCAGGAAGCACACTGGTGGACTAGGCATTGGACAGGATGGGAGTCTCTGCTGGGATGCAAATATTCCAAATCTTTTTTGTTTCTGTGGTTGGAGAAGGAATCCAGGCTTTTGGTCACACTAGGCAATGCCAACACAGGAGAAAAAAAAGGCACACATGACATATAATGGCTGTCTTTTCCTATGACATCACAGTCCCTGGCATGAGTGGTGGAAAATCCCACCATGTGTGACAGTTACATAACACACCCAACATAGGCAGCTATGGCACAAGTGACTATGTCTCCAGAATCTGGATAGACTGAGCATTGTCAGGGACACAAGAAAGCCAGACTTTACCTGTGGCTGCCGTCTGCTGCTCTGCGAAGGGATCATTCTGGAAGGGGTCACCTGGAGCAAAGAGAGCAGCAGTCAGCTGAGTGGAGAAGGACAGTGGAGACATGTCTCCTGCAGTCAGCTGAGTGGAGGAGGACAGGGAGACATGTCTCCTGCAGTCACCTGAGTGGAGGAGGACAATGCAGACATGTCTCCTGCCTGGTTTAAGGGGAAAAAGTGGACCCTGTGCACCCCGGCCCTGCCACAGAAAGTTCATGGGTGAAAGTGGCAGTCTCAAGCAGGAAAACACTTGAGATGGCCCAGATGCCTGGCTGGCTACAGAAAGAACTACAGTCTTCATGAACTCACTTTTCCTTCTCCACTCTGGATCCCTGTATTTCCTCCTAACTTGCTGAGTCACAGAATAGAGACACAGTGGTTGTCCTGGTCATGTCATAATGACCTGTGACAGCCAAAGCTGCTGGATCTGTCTCTTACATCTAAGATCAAAATCTGAAAGCTCCTCAGGCATGGTGGCACACATCTTTAATCACAACACAAGCAAAGCAGAGGCAGGAGGATCTTTGTGAGTTCGTGGCCAGCCTGGTCTACAGAGCAAGTTCTAGGACAGCCATGCTACATGGAGAAATCCTATCTCCAAAACAAACAAAAAACAAAAATCTGTGGCTTAGCAGTTAAGAGTGTCAGTTAATCCTGGTAAGGGCCCAGGTTCAAGTCCCAGTGCCCACATGGTGGCTCTGACATCCTCTCGTGCCCTCTAGTGGCACTGAATATACATGATGCATACACATGCAGGTGAAAACCCCATACACGTAAGAAAGCATTTAAAAAGGAGGGGAAACAACAGTCCTTTCCCTGGCTGGGCGTACCTTTGAAGGGGTCAGCTCCTTTAAACGGGTCGGATTTGAAGGGGTCCTCCGCCTGGAAAGGGTCTGGGTGTAGTTCTTGGGAGTTGTTGCTAAACAGTAAGGCTTTGTTTTTGAAAGGATCATCCTAGGATTGTGAAGAAAGAACAGGCGCTGAGTTACTTCTGACCTACACCTAAATCAGACCTGCACTTGACGCAGTGTGAGCCAGGACAGAATACCTCAAGAGTAGTCCCACCAGTGGACATTTTAGAAAAACAACCCTAGACGCTGGTTTATTTGCTGAGATGCAATAGAAACCAGGCATGGCACACATGGAAACTCTGCACCACAGCTTTGCAGTGTTGCAATAAATCTAAAACAACTCTAATAAAATCACTGAGGGAAATGAGCAAATAGATGGAATCTAATCCACCCATATGGTAGAATAATATCCAACCTCAAAGAGGAAGGAAATTCTGCTGTGAAAAGAGGAGACTTCAATAGTGGAGAGGTACCTGAACTGATTTTCCCCTGCAATCAGATTTATGACTACCTTAATTGTCATCATAGAAACTTCATATAGCAACTGATGGAAGCAGATGCAGAGATCCACAGCTAGCACTGGGCCAAGCTCCCAGAGTCCAGTCGAAGAGAGGGAGGAGTAATCAAATGAGCAAAAGGGTCAAGATTATGATGGTCCTACAGAAACAGATGACCTGAGCTAGTGAGAGCTCACTGACTCCAGACTGACAGCGGGAGAGCCAGCATAGGGCCAGACTAGGCCCTCTGCATGCAGGTGACAGCTGTGTGGCTGGGGCAGTCTGAGGGGTCACTGGCAGTGGGACTAGGATTTATCCCTAGTGTTCGAATGGCTTTTTAGAGCCCATTCTCTTTGGAGGGATACCTTGCTCAGCCCCAATATAGGGGGGGGGGGTGGCCTTAGATGTGTCAGAGTTTGTTGACTCCCCATGGGAAGCCTCACTCTCTCTGAAGAGTGGATGGTGGGGTAGGTGGAAGGTGGGGGGAGCAGGAAGAGGGGAGGGAAAGGGAACTGGGATTGGTATGTAAAATGAGAAAAGACTGTTTTAAAAAATAAAAGGAAATAAATAGAAAAAAAGAGGAGACTTGAGGATGTGAAGCTAAATAGAAATAAGAGGTCAGTGACAGAGAGATAAATGCTGTGGGATCCCATTCATAAAAGGCCCCTGGACTTACGACATTCACAGGGGCAGAAAGTGGAATGATAGTGGGGGGGGCAGTGCCATCAGCCCCCAGCCCCCACAGTTCTATGTCAAGAAAGAAGTGGGCCGTTTCTGCCCAAGCAGGAAGTAAGGTCTGGGGTGACCCTGGTGTAGTGGGAGTTGCTAAAGCATGCAGGGCATTTTGCATTTTTATAAAAAGGTGCTTATTTCTAGAAACTGGCAAGTGTATTCAAAGCAGCAGGAAAAAAAAAAGCCATTTACTTTTGAAGAGTGCTTTTCTATAGTGGAAATGGGCCGAGGGGTGGGGTGACCCCTGCAAGCAGAATGTTGGGTTGAGAATCAGGGCAGAAGCCTAAGAAAAACACAATCCTCCAAGAAACAGGGCTACTGAACTGGAATCCCCCCGCCCCAAGGAGACGGGGGGGGGGGGGGGGGGGTGTCTCGCTGTGCAGCCCTGACTAGATTGGAACTCACTATGTAGACAAGGCTGACCTTGGGCTCACATATCAGCCTGCCTCTGCCTCCCTGACTGCTGGAATTAAATGTGTACGCTATCATGGCCAGCAGATGGCTTACAGTAGCACTCTCCCATGACCAAGTCATTCAAAGCTGGGGCATCTGTGAAAGCAGACAAATGTCTAAAGGGACACATTCTAATAAGGCTTCCAGCACCTCAGACAAGAGTTCCTGACGAGCTTGGCCACATAGCAAGATTCTCAGGAAATGAAGAAATAAAGATTAAAGAAATAGTAAGCAGTAGTTACAACTTGAAGAAGTGGTGGGCCATTTTCTTACCTGGGACCAATTCTTCAGAGCTTCTGGGCACAGGCCTTCCTAGGGAAGCCAGGCCTGGCGCTCAGGGAGGTTAAGCACAGATGCAGTCAGCGCAGCATCTGCTGAAGACGCCTGGGTGCTGCCAGCCCCGAGATGCACACCCCAGTGCAGCTGCTGGGGTTCAGGACGGAGAGGAATGTGATGGGAGACTCTGCCCTGTGCACTGAGGCAGAAGATGGACCTCTCTGCCACACCATGGGCAAAGGAAGGGCACACAGCTATTGTGGTTCAAGGACAGAGAGACACTGGCAGAAGATTATGACCTAAGAAAGCCGAGTCAGGCAGAAGACTTTTGGACTAGCCCTGGGTGAGGAATGGGCTGTGTCTAAGAGACAAAGGGATGAGGGATGGAGCTTGGTCTCGGAAAGGAAGCTTACGCTGCTGTTTATGGACAGGGCAGAGTACTATCTATTGTTTACAATTCTGAAGGGAGGGCGATGAGTGAGTGGGTTTCAATGGCACAAACGTGCCTGTGAAGTGCACTACCAGTTCTCACATGGTGGGATGGTGGGGCCTATGCAGCAATGTCAGGAGAAATCGCACACCTCATGCAGCTTTGACATCATCCCTGAAGGGGGCCATAGAACAGCTGGGTACAGCTCAGCATTGTAGCCAAGGCACTGGCTCACATTAAGAGTAAGGAAGAAATGGAGCTGGAAAGAAGGCTTTTCTTTACCCACAAATGAGAACACAGCCAGTTACCAGCCAGAATGAAGGGTATGTCACTCTGGGAGACAGAATACAAGGCTAAGTACAAGGCCCGTGGCACTTCCAAATATAGAACACATGCTATCAGCATATGCCTAGAAGCGGATGAACCAATCTACAATGCCACTAGCAGATGCCATCTTCCCAGAACACTGAATCATGTGGTCACTCAATGATGAGGTGACTACATTAGGATAGGTGATAAGTTCCTTCACAGAGGTAAAACACATTAACTAATTTCATATAATTACTAGCTTTTGCAGCATGGAGGATGGGACCAAGGGCCTCACATACACTAGGCAAGCCCCCACTGATGAGCCATGTGCTCAGATGCAGATAATGCCTTCAAAAGCAAGGCAGCAGGAGCTTTCTGCCTGCTTTCAGAGTATAGATATGGTCACAGAGGGCACCAAAAAATTTCTGTGACATCCCTGCTTTTTACAGTGTTGGGGGCTGGGTGTGGGGTGCATCCCTTTTATCTCAGCACTAAGAGGCAGAGGCATATGGATCTCTCTGAGCCCAAGGCCAGCCTGGTCTACATAATTGAGTTCCAGGTCAGCCATGGCTATACCATGAGGCCCTGCCTCAAATAACAAAACAAAACAAAATGAAAAGTGTGTTGGGTGGGGGCCCAATGCTGGAGCTCCTGCTAACTGTCCTGATTTAATATTCCCATTCTCAACTGAGTTCAAGTAACCAGCTAAGTAGCTCTCATTTACTTGCTGGGAGTCCATAACCTTGGCTCCTGCATGTTACCGGGGCTGAAAGGGACCAAGGACCCAACTGTGCTGATGAATCAAAGTAACAAATGGGATGGTTCACAGCTTTTTCTCTGCTGGGTAGGCTGTGTATCCATCAGTCCACAAGAAATAAACATGACTTTGGGCTGGTTCAAGGCTTGGTGGTTAAGTACTTGCTAACATGTGTGAGGCCCTGGGCTCTACCTTTGCTAACACATGAGGCCCTGGGCTCCGTCCTTGCTAACATGTTAGACCCTGGACTCCACCTACAGCACTGTGAAAGAAAAAAGTAATTAAGGATATACACAGAGATGAGCATGGCCTTAAGATCCTATGTCTCCACCATGGGAACCTAACATTTAACTCAGTGACTCAGGAATCACCTGCAGGGGCTGGAGAGATGGCTCAGTGGTTAAGAGCATTGCCTGCTCTTCCAAAGGTTCTGAGTTCAATTCCCAGCAACCACATGGTAGCTCACAACCATCTGTAATGAGGTCTGGTGCCCTCTTCTGGCCTGCAGACATACACACAGACAGAATATTGTATACATAATAAATAAATAAATAAATTGTTAAAAAAAAAAATCACCTGCAGAAAGTTCTAGATGTCCACTCTGGTTGCACTGTTCTCCATAAGCACAGCCCCTAGCTGCACCCCACGAAGAGAACTGGAGCATTCTGCTCCAGTCCCCAGATGGAAAACTGAACAAAGACCTTGCTTCAAAGTGTTTATTAAGAAATGGCAATAGCCCCAGAAATTATCTTAAAACTATTTATACAAAGAGATGTGGGTTCTTTCAGACACAAGTATTGAGTTTTTAGGTAATATATCTGACAGTTACACTGTACAAGTGACAGTCAACCATACAAACTCCACCTATTTCAACAATGAACAAAAATACCCAGGTACAAAAGCCTCAGGTGGTAGCAGAAATGACCAGCCACCAGCAAACTGTCACCCACTGCAAAGATGCAGCCCAGGATGTGAGCCCGATAAAAGCCAAGGAGAGCCAGGCACACACCTTTAATCCCCAAAACTGGAATCTCTGGAGTTCCAGGCCAGCCTGGCCTGCAGTGACATCCTGTCTCAAGAGACAGACAGAAAACAACAAACCAAGCAGTCTACAAGGGCAGGCTTAGAGTGAGCATTTCCCTGGCCCAGGACACAGGACAAGCCAGCTGCATGGGAAGCAATGGTGAGACCAAGTGGAGAGGGCAGTCACAAGAAACCAGCTACAGGCCACAGCGCAGGGAATCCCATGGGAATCCCATGGAACAGTGAAGCCTGAGAGCTGAGGTGGGCAGGAAGCCACCTGCTTTTGAGTCCAGGAGTGAAGGGAACTTCTGTGGGCAGACACAAGGGACAGGCAGAGATACAGACTTCCCTGTAAGTTCTTGGATGCGAAAGAAACACAGAGAAGAGAGGGAAAGGTGGCTGTGTTTAGAGCACAAGACAAGAAGGGAAGGGACAAAGAGGGAGAAGCAGCAGGGCCGGAGCAAGGCAGAGCCCTGGAAGATGAGGCGGCCAAGTGGTTAAGAGCAGCATAGCAGCCCAGATACCAGGACTCATAAGCCTAACCAAAGAGATATCCGTAGGCGGGGGCTGATGGCTCCAACAACGGGCATTGACAACTTGAGAGAAGGGTTACACTGCCTGGGCTGATGGCTCACAAGCAGTAAAGGCCACAGTGTTGATTTTCTCCCAGAAAGGCCAGTTGACAGCTGACCACACAGCACCTGGAAGGCAGACAAGCTGCGGTGTTTTGATTGTGCGTTGCAGGATGGAACCTGGGACCTGTGGTGCTCACTACGAGCTGTACCTCCAGTGGTTTTCCATCTTTCAGAATCACTAGACTTGAATAACACACGTGCACCCCAAGAGCACCATCAGTGGAACACAGAACTGCATGGGACCACATTGGCTTTGGTTAGGTTTGCCCTCTACAATAGAAACACTTCTGTGGAAATGGAACATTTGGACTTCACAGCTTCTAGACAGCTGGATAAATCTGACCACCAGCCCCTGGGCCCTGTGCAGATTGCCATCAAAAACAAGGGGTGCCATGCACCGAGGGAGCCAGTGTTATGTGCAGATTCTGCAGCTGCAGCAGAGCCCACGAGGACCAGGTGACGCTTACTCGACCTTTACCATGGCTCCAAAGCCGCCCCTCTCTGCCAGCAAGACGCCTTCACTCAGGGTGGCCAGGTCAGGCAGGCTGGTGCCAGAGACCCCATCGGGCACCTGGTCATACTGTTCCAGGCTCCGGTGAGCTTCTAGATGGCTTTCCTGAAGCTGCGACAGCTTGTTTCTCGCCTGCAAGATAAATACCATGGACATCAAGAATAGCTTGGGGTGCAGCCAGCAGGATGCCTTCCCCAGGGCATCACGCTCATGGGAAGGACTGCCCTGCGCATGCTGTATACTACTCAGGATGCACTGATCCGTGAAAACCAAGACAACCTATTGCTCCAGGGCTCTGCAGTCCAACCCCCAGAGGAGTACTTGCTCCCCCAAACATTTGCCAATTCTCAACCAACTACAATTATACAGAATCTGGGATGGCAATCTGTTACCTCTCAGGTTTTCACTGTGCGCATGTTTTCCCTCACTCCCAGACAGAGAACTCACGGAGGACAGTGACAGATGCAACAGAGACAGCTCAGTGCACCCAATTGGTCCTAGACCCAACCTCTGTTTCTTTATTTTTGTTTTGTTTTGTTTTGAGACAGGATCTCTCTACATAGCTCTGGATGTTTTAAAACTCACTACGTAGACCAGGCTAGCTTCAAAGTCACAGAGACCCACCTACCTCTGTGTCCCAAGAGCTGGGATTAAAGGCATGCATTACCATGTCCAGCTTTTTTTTTTTTTTCATGTCCAGCTTTTTGTGATTACAATTTTTGTTTTCTGTCTCCTCTAATTTAAAAACGAGTATTGGGAATGATGGGAAGGCAAACACAGGAACGTCAAAATGATACCTGCTGTGTAGTATCTGCTAATGAAAACAAGAGGAAGGGGAAGAGGAGAAGCCAGCGGAAGGCCTGCAAAGGCTGAGGCGGAGAATGTCACAAATTCAAGGCTGACCTGAACTATACGATGAGAGTCTGTCTCAAGAACAACAACAACAACAAAACCTCAAATCCAAAAAACCTGAAATGAAAACCAAAACAAACAAAAGGAATGATGATGGCCATGGTGGCACACACCTTTAAACCCAGCACTCAAGACAGAGGCTGTCTATGAGTTCAAGGAAAGACTGGTTTACATAGTGAGTTCCAGACTTGCAGGGGCTACACAGTGACATCTGTCTAGTACCATCATCAACTATTACTCTATCAGCAATTCTATGTGCATCTTGGACCATCTCCATGTAAGACTCTGAAGGAGGGAGGAAAAAGCCTGAAAACAATCCCAAAGAATTAACCCCCAAGTTGCCCTGCCAGTATGTAACCTGCAGACAAGCACTTTCAGTCTAGAGGACACAGGTTTTCTTTCCTATGTATCAAGCCCAGTACCATCCTATTTCTGTGGCCTGCATACCAGAGACCACCACAAAATTCAATGCTCACTATATGCAGAAGGACAGGGCACGGTCAGAGTTTCCTCCCAGCTGCCAGGAGAGGCCCAAGCACTCATGGAACAGCATGCCAGGCACCCTGAGCCACACTGCATAAAGCCCCCACCAGTTAATCTCTCCAGCACCACTGACCCACAGCACACAGGCAGGTGAGACAAAAAAGCCCAAGTAACCACACAGGGAACCCAGCGTCAGTTAGCCCCCAGCCCCATCAAAATACCTGGTTGATCTCATCCTGCGTGGACTTCAGGGACTTGAGGATGGTCTCCAGCTGGGCACGTCCCGCCTGGATGCTCTGCTCCAGCTGTGTCTCCTCCTGCTGCAGCCGATTCAGCTCTGACTTGGCCCGGTTGAGATCATCCTCTTGAGACTTCAAGTCTGACTCCTGAGACTGGATCTGGGTTTTCAGTGATGAGATCTGAAGTGACAGTCAAGGAACTCACGAGTCAGGGACAGAAAGACAAGACATCGAACTTTTTCACTGTGTGAAGCTGGAGAGGTGCTTAGTGGGTACACATGGAGACTGCCTAGCCTCAAGATCAGGGTGGGTGCACAGAGTGAAAGGAAAGGACCAAGCCCCACTGAAATCCTCTAACCTACACACACACACACAAAATATCTCTCACAAAAAATGAGTAAGTATAATAATAAACATTTTTTAAAAGGCAGAATGGGGGGGGGGCTGGAGAGATGGCTCAGCGGTTAAGAGCACTGACTGCTCTTCCAGAGGACCTGGGCTCAATTCCCAGCACCCACATGGCAGCTAACAACTGTCTGTAAATCCAGTTCCAGGGGACTTGACACCTTTATACCAATGCACATAAAATGGAAGCAGCAGAGAGGCACCCGGAGCTGTTTTCTGATGTGGGACACAGACCACAGCCGGGTGTCCAGGCCATGGTTATGAAAGCCATGCAATTCTGCAACTTGATCTCTAGGGATGGAGGGATCATTCACGGGTCGGGAGATTCCACTCCAGGCATTCAGTCATCTGTTGGCTGTTAGGGACACTCGGAACATCTTCCACACCGTGGGACTCACCATCTGGGTCTCATCCTGGCATTTCTGCCGCACATCACTCAGCATGTCCCGCAACTTGGCCTTTTGCTGGTCCATCTCATCCAGGCGGTCTTGGGCATCCTGCTTCTGTGTCTCAAGTTCCTGTAGACTGCTGGTTTCCCTGTCCAGGTCATTTTGTAACTCCTAGGGAAATGGGAAGGTGTTGACTGACACTGTTAATGGCCCTAAACAAGGAGAGATTAAAAGCATTCTCTGGGCTTGGCTGTGGCTTTGTTGGACCTCTGTAAGATGATGCTCCATCCCCGTGCTGGCTGAGGGTGAGCATGAGGTCCTGGGTTCTTGTCTGGCACCTGAGCACAGATGAGGCAGGGTTTTTTATGGTCATTGCCTACCAAGTATGAATGAAACCCCAGGTTCCATCACCGATGCCGGCAAGGAAACAAAAACACTTTGCAATCCCAAAGCTGTTTCTAAAGCATGTTCCCTACACTCAGCACAAAGCAGGCCCAAGCTGCCTGGCAGTGGTGGCACACACCTTTAATTCCAGCACTGGGAAAGCAGAGGCAGGTGATCTCTGTGAGTTCAACGATAGCCTGGTGTACAGAGTTTCAGGACAGCCAGGGCTACACGGAGAAACCCTGTATCAGAAGAAAAAAATACAAGCCAAGATGCAGCATCCATACCTGTACTTCGCTGGTTTTCTGTCTGATGGCCTCTTCCTTTTCTCGGATGTCTTGCTCCAATGAGTACTTCTCTCTGCAGGTTTAAAGACAACGCAGAAAAAGTGAATCCATACTCATGGTACGCAGCTGTGACCCTGACCTTGAATGACTTCATGTGTCCTGTCCCCTCAGGTTTGCCATAAAACTGGTCCTATGTCACTGTGACAGCCTATGTCCTGAAGTCCTCATCAGAGACCAGATAGATCAGTTTCTTAAACTGAGGGAAAGAAGCCGCTCTCTTTTATACATTACCTAGTCTTAGGTACTCTTTACAGCAACACTCCTGGACTAACCAACAATCCCCCACCCTAGGGCACAGCGGAACCTGCACACAAGAGGCTCCTCTCCCAGTGCTCACTGCCTGAGAGCATAGGGTCTTCCCCATCTGATGGCCAAAGAGGAAAACGGAGACTCCTAAGTATGACAGGGACTAGCCAAGCCCTTACTAACTCTGAAGGTTCAGGAGGTAAACAGGGAGGTATAAAAGTGGTCTCCAACATTAGCAACCACCCCCACCCCAGTTGACAGCCAGCAAGAAAATGGAGAACTTGGGCCCAAAGGGGTAAGGACTTAGAGAGAAGCTCAGGCACACACCTTTTCCATGGGCTCCAACACCCCAGACAGTTGGTACAGGCATCTCCATAACACACTTATGTCACCACACTGCTCAATTCCATGACTGTCGCACAGAGAGACACCATCCCTACATTCCACACCCAGGGAAATGCTACTCAGTAGTCTGACACTGAGGGTCCGTCCACTCAACAAGAGTAGAGGGACACTGGGGACAAAGGTCTGCACACAAATGCCAACCAGCACCACAACAAACAATGGACTCTGAGGAGCTGTTGTGGGCATGGGGAGACACGGTAGAATTTTCTGAAAGGCAGGACTGGAAACAAAACTGGGCTCGGGGAGCCATGAGGAGTGACAGGGAGAGCAGTAGCAGTCACCCACTGTGGTGAAGGGCAGGGAGGGACTGGCCCACTGTGCAGACCAGGTGCTCCAGATGAGGGGCTCTCTCCTAAGCTGGGCTCATCCCTGCTGTCTGTGTCCCTGTGCAACTGTGTAGCCACAACCTGCTGAGGCTACCTGGACAATGTGGGCTCAGAGCAACAAAGACCCAAACAGAAGCAGATCCGAAAAGACTGTGTTCTCCATGGACACAAGGCCACTGCATCACAAGCCACCAGGAAAGAGGACAGTCACATACCTCTGCAATTGAGCGATCTCCTGGCTAATGTCATCCAGCTCCTTAACACCTGTGAATTCCCCTGACCCGAGAGCACACGAACTATCCTAGGATAAAACGTCAGACACAGAGTCACAGGAAGCCAACAGCCCACATCTCTGGTACAGCAGGGGACCAAAGTGCTGGCCAATGGCCTGAGAACACTCCAGGTGTCCCAGTCACAGGATACCACACACCCATCCCCAACCTGGGCTTGGGGACTGAGGACTTAGGGGCTCTTGGAGCACCAGCACCACCTTCTGGTGGGTGGCGGGAACAACAGAAGCAAGGGTGTCTGGTTACTTACTGGAATGGGAGTGCCTCTCTCCGAGGGTGGCACCATGTCTGGCGAGAGGACTTGAGGAGGGTCGATGCCTTTACTGACCTTCTGCTGAATGAAATACATAGCTAGCGCGAATTGCTCTTTGCTTAACTTCCCCGTTTGTCTCGTATCAGCCAGGGCCCTGGGAGAGACGTGGATGCAATTACACACCACAGCTGTACTTGCCACCTACCCTGAGCATGCCCCACTTACCAAGCAAGACCTGAGCATGGCCTCCACATTTCCCTAGTGCTGATGAGCACCTACTCGAGGCTGGTAACAGGCCGACAGTACAGGAGTGAGGGTCTGGCCTACACAACTGAGGCGCCTGGTCTCAGGAAGGACCCTGCCCCTAGCATACACTTCCAGCTGACTGTAGGGTCAAGGCTTTCTTGGTTCGCCTCATTCACGGTACTGTAGAGACGTGGTTGCCCCATTAGCTCCTGTGCAGAAGGCGTAGGCCTACACTCTGATTCCTGGAGAATCTAGGATCTACCCATGTGTGAGTCAGTAGGGACAAGAGCTGCACTATGGAGGTCTGGAGACATAGTCCCTGCCACAGTGTCTGCACCACCAGGAACTTGCCTCTGGCCTCTGTTTCTAGTGTGGAATAAGAGAGAACAGGAATGCCCCAGACTTGAACTGGCAGTGAATGGCCTTGTGAGGGGCAAACACTTCCACTACTGGTGACCGATGCAGTTGCTGTTAAAATGCAGTCATCTGCCAAAGGCAGAGCACAAGGTCTTCAAGGGCCCACTCTGGCAGCAGCTACTTGCAGAGCATTGCTGAAAAACAGCAGACATGCGCTGCTCTCTAGCTCCTCCATTATTTGAGTGCAGCAGCTCAGCTCTGAAGGAGCCAGCAGCCTGTCTAAAGAGGCAACTCCGTGACCGCGGCCCCTTGGCCAGCTAGCTCTCTTCCCTGCCCGGCTAGGATTATTCAAGACAGTTCTTCTCTCTGGCCACCATGTTACCGGCTCAGTTTCCCTGCTGCGGTCAGGAGGTCACTCAATGCCCTGGCCCAGGCAACCACAGGAACCCCATTCTGAGATGGCAGAGGGAAGATGAAGATGGCTCCTCCACCCAGCACCAAGTGTTACACAGTGGCCACCATCTACACCAGAACAGTTGTGAGAACCCTGAGAGTGAGCCTATTGGCTCGTGACTGTCTGTCCCTGTGTTGGCTGATTTTTTTTTAAACTTTACACAACCCAGACACATCTGGGTAGAGGCTTCTTGAGAAAATGTCTCCATCAGATTGGACTATAGGCAGCTCTGTGCAGGAATTTTCTTGATTAATGACTGAAAATAGGGGGCAGCTCACTGTGGGTGGTCCCTTTGCAGGTGGTCCTGAGCTGTATAAGGAGGCTGAGCAAGCCACGAGGAACAAGCAAGCCAGTAAGCAACACTCCTCCATGGCCCCTGCGTCAGCTCCTGCCTCCACATTCCTTTTTGAGTTCCTATCTGATTTCCCTCAGTGATAGACTGTTATCTGAAAATGTAAGCAAAAATAAACCATTCCACTTTGCTTTTGGTCACAGTGTTTTATCACAACAATAGAAATTTTAACTAAATCAGTCTCCCATAGGAGAGCAGGGTAGGGAGGGTTGCTAGACCCTCATCTACACATCCCAAACACTGTATGTAATTCTGCGCTAATCACATAGCCAAGGATCCCAGGATGTGCCAAGAGCCACCAAGTGTAGAAAGTTAACTGAAGAGGCCTCCATCATCAGCCTTTCTGGGGTGCCTCACACTCTTGTAAGAAACATCTCACCTATCAACTGCAAGCCCAGTTAAGTCATTGGTGCCCCAATGGACTTCAGTGGTATGAACTTGGGTATATCCTTGGTGCACTGTGTGTGTGGGGGTGGGGGGGTGTTGTTACATCTCCCCAGGAAAGGGTTCCCATAACACTGAGGAACAAACAAGGGTCCTATTCCCTACCTTCCTCCCTGTTGGAAGCAGGTGTTGCCCTTTCAAGTAGGACTTCACTAAACTGTCAAGGCCCTCTCTGGGTTACCCAAGTGGCAGGCAGAATGATTGTCCCAGGTAACTGAAGCAAGGTAAGGCTTGTGGAGAAATTGTCCCAACAGAGCTCTCCAGTACGAAGGCTGACCCAACCTCCCTGTTCATTGGCACCTGGGAAACTGGAGCCCTTCCTCCTGTCTGCCCACTTCCCAGCCTCTCAGAGCCACCTCTACCATGGCTTCCACTCTTACCAAATGTGTGCCAGAAGGTTCTGTGTGAGGCCCGAGTGCATGAAGATCTCCTTTACTTCCTGGCCACTCACATAGCCATCAAGGTCCAGGTCTGTCTTCAAGAAGATCTCATCGAAGCGCATCTTATCTGCCACAGGCACCACCCAGGCTACTGGTGGCTGAAACATATTACAACCGTGACTTACCCATGAGCCCTGTTCTAGTATGAGCTAACATCTAGGCTTTCTTTTCATTTTTTAAAAATGACTTATTTATTTTTAATTGGTGTTTTGCCTGCAGGTATGTCTGCATGAGGGCATCAGATTCCCTGGAACAAGAGTTACAGACAGCTGTGAGCTGCCAATGGGTGCTGGAACTTGAACCCAGGTGAGTCTTTTCTCTGAATGTGGAGAGTCTAGGAACACACACTCTGGGCTCTGTGAAGACACTGTATCACTTCAATGAGGACACCACTGCAGGCCACTGGCACCCTGGGGGTTCTGGAGCCCAGGCTTCACAGGTACCAGGGAACAATTTCACTTACCTGCAAGTGAGCAAGAAAGTTAATTCTGAATCCTTCTAGAAATTTTTCTAGGTTATTTATTTATTTTATGCATATTGGTGTTACTGTCTATGCATCACATGCTTAAGTACAGACTGCTGTGAGCTGCAATGTGGGTGCTGAGAATTAAACCCGGGTCCTCTGGAAGCAGTCATCTCTCCAGCCCCATACCTCTAGGCAATTTTTTTTTAGAATTGAATCAAAGTTTTTTCTTTTTTTGCTGTCAAGAAATAATGGTGCAGGACTTCCGAGAAACTAGGCCTGAACCAGGACCTCTGTGAGTCTGGGACCTCCAAGGGAGTAGGCAGGAACCAGTGATCTCTGCAGGTCCAGACGTGAGTCTGGGACCTCCGAGGGAGTAAGCCTGAGCAAGGTTCTCTATGGGTCTGGGTGCACCTGAGCCTGGGAACTCCAAGGGAGTAGATCAGAGCCAGAGTCCTGTTCAGGACCAACCCCAAGCCAGGGACCTCTGCAGGAACAGATCCAGACCAGGGACATCTACAGAAACAGGTCTGACCTGAAAATCTAGGCTAGAGCAGGCCTGAGACAGCAAACTCCAAGGGAGTGGAGCAGAGTCCGGGAGTGACCAACAGGGTAACTAGTTGTACCACGAGTGTACACTGACTGTACCACGAGGAACAACCATCTGAGCCACAGATGGCAGCCCAGATGACTATACCCAGAAAAACTGTCAATCACCACTGAAGAACAAAACAAGATATCCCGTGACAAAACCAGATTTCACCAATACCTAGCCATAAACCCAGCCCTACACAAAATACTAGAAGAAAAACTCCAACCCAAGGAAGTCGGCTACACCAACAAAAACAGACAATTGATGGTCTCACAGCAGTAAATTCCAAAGAAGGGAAAAGCACACAAATAAACATCACCAACCATGAAAACTAAATTAACAGGAGATAGTAATCACTGGTCATTAATTTCCCTTAATATAAATAGACTCAGTTCACCTATAAAATGGCATAGGCTAACAGATTGGATATGAAAACAGAATCCATACTTCTTCTGCATACAAGAAACACACCGTAACCTCAAAGATAGATATCGTCTCAGATTAAAGGGTTGGGAAAAAATATTCCAATCAAATGGACCTAAGAAACAAGTGGGTGTAGCTATCCTAATATTTAACAAAATAGACTTCAAACTAAAATCAATCAAAAGAGACAAAGAAGGACATTTCATTTTAGTCACAGGAAAAATCCATCAAGAGGAAATCTCAATACTGAACATCTATGCCCCAAATTCAAGGGCACCCTCATATGTAAAAGAAAAGAGAGGGGAGAGGCAGGGAGGGAACCAGAGAAAAATGTAGAGCTCAATAAAAATCAATTAAAAAAAAAGGAAGGAAGGAAGGAAGGAAGGAAGGAAGGAAGGGTGCGTGCGTGCGTGCGTGCAGGACCGGACAGTGGACACTGACCTGAGTCTGCTTGACACTGTGCTTTGGAGACAGGCTGCCTGTGCTGTTGAGGCTGCTGACGCTGCCATGGGATGGCGTGGAGCGGAGGCTGTCTTTGGGTGGGGGGCTGGCAGGCAGGACAGGCACAGCTCCTGCAAACACTGTCTTCTTCTTCTTGGAGGGTGGGATGAGGGATGGGGGCAGGACGGAGGGCACTGGTTCCTTCTCCAAGGCGCGGTACACCAAATGCATGGCCTGTGGTGCCAACGAGAAGAGAAAGGAACTGAGGGGCAGGGGCCACAGAACTGAAAGAGAGTCTCGTGCAGTCTTGGGAGCCATGGGAACCCCTAGAGGCTCCAAGGAATCTGTTCATCTTTTCTCAGACATCAGCCTCCTCTGCAGCTTCTTGAGCCATATTGAATTTAGGCAAGTGAAGTGAGCACAGACATCCATCCAGACACCACACAGTTCTGAGGGTTCCTTGTGAGCAAAGACAACCGCCAGACACCACACAGCCAGTTCTGAGTGTTCCTTGTGAGCAGAAACAACTGCCTAGACACCACACAGCCAGTTCTGAGGGTTCTTTGTGAGCACAGACAATGGCCCAGACACCACACAGCCAGATCTGAGGGTTCCTTGCCAAGGTTTGAGTTACCCGTGGTCTGAAATGTTAGGTAGGAAATTCCAGAAACAAAAGACCACATTCGTAACACTTCTATTATAGTACATTGCCATGACTGTTTTGAGACATGTTTCTCAGGCTGGCCTCATGCTCACTAAATAACTGACCTTAAACACCTGATCTTCCTGCCGTGACCACCTCCAGAGTGCTGAGATTACAGGCATGTGCCACCACACCTGATTTATGTGGCATGGGATGACTCCAGGGCTTTGTGCATGCTAATAAGTACTCTACCCACTGAGCCCCAGTCTTTGCTGCAATTACTTTATTTCAATCGTTATTAATCTATTAGCAATAAAAAAGTTGTAGTAGCCAAGAACAGACAGGAAAAGTGAAATACATGTATGTAACAGTTCTGAGTCCATCAGTATGAGGTATGACCACTAAGCTTGATTACCAAATTTCTGAAATCTGGAAGTGCACAGACCCTGAAAGGAGCTTCTACTTCAAAATATTCAGGAGACACGGAGTAGATTCCAGAGGGGACAGAGAGAGGGCAGGCAGGGGGAGCAGAGGGACGTGTTCTAAATCAAGTCTATGTATTTATTTATATGGAGGCAGTCTTGATATGAATCCCAATCCTCCTGCCTCAGCGTACTAGGATGACAGGTACACACTGACAAAAATCACAGATTTTCGAGATTTATTTTTATATCTATGAGTGTTTTGCCTGCCTGTGTGTCTGTCCATTAGGTTTGTGCAGAGCTCATGGAGGCCAGAAAAGGGTGTCAGATCTCTTGTAACTGAAGCTGTGAGTCTCCATGTAGGAGACGGGAATCAAACCCTGGTCCTCTGCTATGCTCTTAAGCCCTGAGACAATTCTCCAGCCCCAATATCACAGATTTTAAAGTCTATTTTAAAACGTAACTGGAAATCTAGGCGCTGTTCATGTATAATTCTAAAACTAGGGAAATAAGAGGCAGAAGAATCAGGAGTTTAAGACCAGCTTCAAGCCAGGCAGTGGTGGCACAAGCCTTTGAGCCTATCATTTGCGAGGCAGAGGCAGGCGGATATCTGAGTTTGAGGACAGCTGGGTCTACAGAGTGAGTTTCAGGATAGCCAGGACCACACAGTGAAATCCTGTCTCTCTGTAAAAACACAAAAACAAACAAAAAAAGACCAGCTCCAATTATCTGAGACCCTGCCTCAAAAAAAAAATACAAAAACAAACAAACAAAAAAAAGACCAGCTCAATCAGAGAGTCTGGTTTGATCACATGCTCATTCAGACCCGGTCCAGCTTGAATTTGGTGAGTTCCCATTAGAACAGGCACACTGCCTCAGTTGGTGGACCAACCCCTCGCAGGAGATTGGGAGGAGGGAAGGAAGTGTAAATATTTGAATGGATATTTAATTAAAATTAAAAAAAAAGACCAGCTCCAATTATTACAAAAATAAAGGCACTGTGTTTGCAATTTATCTCCTTGAAAATGATGCAGGAAAAAGTGTGTGTGTATGAGAGAGAGAGAGAGAGAGAGAGAGAGAGAGAGAGAGAGAGAGAGAGAGAGAGAGAGAGAGAGAGAGAGAGAGAGAGAGAGAGAGAGAG